AGGCTTTAGGTAGCCTTGCTTGTTTAAGAAAAGGAGAGGAACCTTTCTTATCCCTTAGTGTATCTAAGACACCATTCCAATCACCCATTAATACCACTGATCTATAATCAAGCAAAGTTATTTTTTGATGTAACTGTTTATAAAATTGTTCCTGTTGTTGATTTGGAGCGTAAAGTCCAACTATAAGTACTTTCTTACCATATATACCAAGTTCAATCATCACATATCTCCCCTGGGGATCTGATTCTACCAGACAAGCTGGTAGGTTTTGTTTAACATATATAACAACTCCCCCTTTCTTCCCAGGAGCAGGAGATATAAAATGAGATCCCAAACGAGCATTAACTAAATATTTCTGGTCTTTAAGTAAAATATGAGTTTCCTGTAGACAAATAACATCATTGGTATGTTGCTTCAAATAATAAAAGATTTTTTTCCGTTTCTGAGGAGAATTCAATCCATTAACATTCCAGGTCAAAAACTTTGCCATCTCCCTTGGCACGCAGCCTGGAGAAGACACCATCAAAATCTGACAGAGCTGCGTGTGTTGCATAACTCTTGGGTCTTGCTCCTCCCACCGGCGGTGAAGCACTTCCAGGAGAACTCTCTTTGGGCTCTTTTTTACGTTGCTCCTTCTCTTTACGCTTATAGGCTGCACGAGTCATCCTCTGCTCTTTAGCCTCCGTCTGGCGTTGCTTTGCCGCTTCTATCATCCCTGCGGAAACCAAATCTAATGCCTCAGATTGCTGCTCAGCTTCCTTACCACTCAAAGATTTCCGACCAGATGAAGTTGAGCCTGCACCCAGGACCGAAGTATAAAAATCTCTAGCTTTATCAACTGTGTTCAATCTGTAGCGTGTCCCAGCATGGCTCAAAACAATACCCATCGGAATTTCCCATCTAAATGGCATCGATCTAGCTTTAAGCTCATTGGTTAAAAAAGCAAAGTCTTTTCTACTTCTTAAAATTTTGGATGGGATTTCCTTTAGAATGATGACATCTTGGGCGGCAATCTGAAATCTTTTGTTGTAAAAGGCTTGTATAATCTCATTCCGCAGGGACTTCTTTGTAAAGTAAATCACCACATCTCTAGGCAAATTCTTCTGCTTAGCAATCCAGGAGTTGAGTCTATAAATTTTTTCCACTTCTCTCTGTAATTCTCCTTTATCCATATCCAAGGCCAGCGCCAGATCAGTAAGGACCACCTCCACCAAATCTTGATTGATATCTTCCTTGAGGCCTCTAATCCTCAGGGCATACTCCATCTGTCTGTACTGAAACATCAAAATATCTTCTTGTGAGGAGTCCACCTTCCTTTCCACGTCTTGAATTTTGTCATCCAAAGAGTCAACTTTGTCTTCCACTTCCTCAAGCCTTGCGTCGAGCTTAACCACCACAGTAGCCAAACCTGAAACAGCTGCCAATATATCTTGTCGTAGTTCATTATTATTTTCTTGCAATTTAGACTTTATCCCCGTTATCTCTTCTTTGAGATCAGATTTAATTTCTGATTTAATCTGTGAAACAAATTGATTCATTTCCTCTCTCATTTGAACTACAATCTCTCCCATTATGCCTCTAACCTCTTGTACTGAAAGTCCAGGTAGAGGAGGGGAGGGTGGTGGCTGAGCCGGTGGTACATGTTTAGATTGTTGTTGTAGCTGTGCAGTGGAAGTTATAGGAGAAGAAATAACCTTAGGTGCTGAGGAAGGCTGCTGCCTCTTTGAAGCCATTTTAAAAAGCACAATTGTCACTTCCCTTTCCCCTCCAGCCAAAAAGGGAGGAGGAAAGAAAAAAAAAAAAATTTTTTAAAAAGAGACAAACTATAGTCATTAAAAGTCCAGAGTAAATCCAAAGAATAAGTAGTAAAAGAGCAAACAGTTCAAAAGAAAAAATTCTAAACCAAAAGCAAAAGCAAAAGCAAAAAACAGTCCTTAGAAAGGGAAAGTAAAACAAAAGAGAAAGGAAAAAAAACTCCGACAGTTTCAAAACGCCATCTTAAATCCTTTCACTAGTATAACAAAAAAAGGAGGAAAAATAGTAAAAATCAAAAGATAAAAAAATAAACACCTAAAATATAACAAAAAATCCTTTAAACTGCTCCGTCCGTTTAAAAATTACTCACCAAAATGCTGTAAACACGGAGATAGAAGCGGCGGTTTCTTTTGCTTCCTAGGAAGCAAAAACAGCTGGGAGGCGGAGATCAGCAAGAGCTCCGAGGGAACACTCCTTTCACCCCCTCTAGAAATAAATCCAGAGGGGGTTCAGGGGTTCTACCTCTACTCTTGCGTTCTCTGTCCCTTCCCTTTGCCCGGGAAGGGATTTCCGAGCCGCGGGCCAGCTGATGCGCGCTGCGCTCCGCGGCTCTGACACTTCCCCAGCTGGACGGCTAAAAGCTAGCCGCCATCGCCGTCGCCTCCCACCGGAAGCTCAAGAAATTCTTAAGATATGAGATCTAAAGACCCTATCAACCTTTTTATTATAAATTAAATAGGCATGCCATCCAAAAAGTAAATCCCATCCCTCCAAAAGGAGTATATCTACATTTGTTAGATTAACCCAATCACTAATTGATGTTAAGACCACAGCATCGTAATACAATTTCAAATTCGGTATCTTAAGTCCACCTCTCTCTCGTATATCTTGTAAGATTTTAAGTTTTACTCTTGGTTTTTTTCCCTGCCCAGATAAATTTATTGATACCTTTCTGCCACTCATCTAAATTTGCTTCTTTCTTTAAAATAGGTATCATTTGAAATAAAAAGAGAAATTTTGGCAGAACATTCATTTTAATCGCTGCTATTCTCCCCAAAAGGGACAATTGCACTTTTTCCAATTGTCCAAATCCTTTTGTATTCTAACCCACAGCGTTTCATAATTATTTTTATACAGTTTTGAATTGGAAAGCAGATAGAATAACACCCAAATATTTTACCTTATTAACAACCTCAAAGCCTGTCAATCTAACCAAGGTCTCCTTATCCAAGTTGGTCATGTTCTTAGGCAATATTTTAGTCTTATTATTATTAATTTTAAAACCTGAAACTTGTCCATATTGATTTATCAATTGTAACAACTCCATTACAGAATAAGTTGGTTGAGATAATGTAACAACTAGATCATCTGCAAAAGCCCTTAATTTATATTCTTTTTTATTAATTTCTATTCCTTTTATCTTCAATGAGTCCCGAATTTTAATCAATAAAATTTCCAAGGTTAACACAAACAGCAATGGAGACAATGGACAACCCTGTCTAGTCCCCTTTTCAATTGGGAATACCTCTGATAAACCTCCATTAACTATAAGTTGTGCCATTTGTTTTTGATAAATAGCTTGAAGGCCTGTAAAATTTTATCTCCAAAATTCATTTCCTCAACCAGTCTTAGCATAAATTGCCAATTTAATTGATCAAAAGCTTTTTCAGCATCTAAAAATATCAATCCTGCAGAAATTTGATTGTTCTTATCCAAATATTCTATTAAATTAACAATTTGTCTGACATTATTTTTCATATACCTTCCAGTTATAAAACCAGTTTGATCCATATGTATTAATTGGTTCAACACAACCATAAATCTATTAGCTAAAATTTTCAAAAAAATCTTATAATCTACATTCAAGAGAGATATAGGGCTATAATTCTTTGGTAACGTAAGATCTTGGTCTTCTTTTGGAATCAAAGATATAAAAGCTCTGCCCCAAGACAAGGGAGTCTCTAAACCCTGTAATATATTATTAAAAAGTTCCCTTAGAGGTTCTGTCAGCTCATCTATCAAAGTCTTGTAATAAATTGATGTCAGTCCATCAGTACCAGGTGCCTTACCTAACTTTAATTCTTTAATTGCTGTCACAATTTCCTCCGTGGTAATTAATCCATTGATTTCTTGTTTCTGATCTTCTGTTAGTTTAGGAAAATGAGCATCTTGTAAATATTTATTTATATCTAAAGCCTGTACTTTCCTACCCATATATAATTTTTTATAATAATCTAAAAAAGATTAAATCCTTCTGAAATACCAATTTACCTTTATAATTTATTTTGTCTATAATTCTCAACTTCTGTTTCTTTCGCAATTGATAGGCCAGCCATCTCCCTGGCTTATTAGTATTACAAAATGTGTTGTTTCATGTACAGTAAGTTAGTTGCAGTCTGATCTGCCATTAACATATTAAATTGCGATTTAAGCAGTTTTATAGATTCCTTAGTCTTCTCATCTGTAGGATTCAAGATTAAAACTTTTTTCTTTTAATTTAATCTCATCTTCCAACTCCTTACGTTTCTGCACCTGTTTCTGTCTATGAATCTTATTCATTTGCATCAAAACCCCACGCTTTACCTGCATCCCATACCATTGACATTGAAGTACCCTTATGCATATTTAAAACAAAATATTCCTTTAAATGCTCTTTAAGTTTCTGAACATTCATCTCTTGTCTAAACAAATTTTCATTCAACCTCCAAGATCTTCTCTCCTTTTTTTCAGTAACCAATTCCATCCATACTGGACTGTGATCTGTCAATGTCCAATGTCTTTACATTCTTTACTCTAAAGTATAAATCCGTTGTAATAAAAAAAAAGTCAATTCTTGAAAAAGATTGATGTCTATCCGAAAAGAAGGTAAAGTCTCTCTCTTCCAGATTGGGTTCTCGCCAATAGTCTCGCAACTCCCAGTCCTCTTTCAAATCAAAAAAAGCCTTAGGTAATTTAGCCTGCTTAAAAGAAGTAGAAAGTCCTTTTTTGTCTCTACATGTGTCTAAAATTCCATTCCAATCTCCCATCAATATAACAGATCTATAATCCAATAAAATCAATTTTTGATGCAACAACCTATAAAATTGTTCCTGTTGTTGATTTGGTGCATACAAACCTACTATAAGTATTTTCTTACCATACAGTCCCACTTCAATCATAACATATCTCCCTTGAGGATCAGAATCTACTAAACAAGCTGATAAATTTTGCTTAACATAAATAACTACACCCCCTTTCTTCCCAAGAGCAGAAGATACAGAATACTAACTGGCCATTCTTGGTATCCAAGAACACCAGGATCCCCTTCAACCTTTCTCCCCTTCCCCCCACCAGACCAGAGTCCTACATGAAAGATCTCGAGCTGGCAGTGGGCTTAGAGGAAAGTAATTGCCTGATCAGGCTCCTGGTGAGGGGAATGGCTTGGAGAAGGCGTCGTGGAAAGGATATTGATGTAATGGCAGAGGCTTGCCAGCTAAGTATGAGCAGCAGAGCACATAGCAGAAAGCAGCACATGCAATTATTGTCTCAATCAGCACAAGAGAGCTTTCAATCACAACATGTACAACAACAATCCCATTTCATTCGGCCCCGGTCAAACTCCCCTTGAACAATTTGACCATTTTTGGGTATCACATCTTAAGAAAGGTTTAGGAAATCAAGTCAGACATTAGAGGCAAAGCACAGGGCATAATTTTTTAACTAGCTGAAAGGGTGTCTCACACATAAGAGGACTGGGGCACTTTTGTGTGATCTCTGAAGGCCAAACATAATCACAGGAAGGTAATTGCCCATCACATGTTAAGGAAACCTTTTCATAGTAAGAATAGTTTGGCAGCAATGAAGGTGTTGTGCTTCATGGGCATCTAGCCATCCATCCATCCACCCGCCCACCCACCCATCTGGGGTGCTTTAATGTGAATTCCTAGACTGGCTGGGAGTTGCCCTTGGGAACCTCAGGGCCTCTTCCGTCTCTAGGATCCGAGGAATGGCAAGCAACCTGCCTCCTGCCTGCAGCTCTTGTGGGCAATGTTGGAGGCCGCTGCTTCCTGTTTCATCACCTGTTTCCCTGCAGAAGCCCAACAGGGCTTTTGGGCAGAGCTGCAGAGTGCGGCTGAGTCGGGCTGGGATTTCTACTCCCGCTGGTTCTTGCCAGGCTCCCCACCACTGCAGGACTCACTACAAGGCACCAGAGTAAGGGGAGTTGTGCCGGTGGATTTAAACGCCATTCTTTGCAAAGTCGAGCAGCCGTTAGCCACTTTCTACCAAGTCCTTGGTGAGAAATGGGGCAAAGTGAGGCAGCTGCCATCAGCTCCCTCATGGGGGGGGGGTGTTGCCTCTTGCTTGATGGCTGTGTGGCCAGGGAAGGCTCGCTTGGTTCGGGGGCCCTGGTGAGCTGCCTGTCTGGGGCGTGGAGGGCAGGCCTGCTCTGAAGGAGGGTGCTGCGTGCCCTCTCCAGGGGATGGTGAGAAAGCGAGCTGGTTCTGGGCTGCGCGGAAGCAGCGAGTGGCTGCCGTCACTGCTGTCCTGTGGAATGAGGATGCTGGTGTCCTGGTGCACAACCGGGCCTTCTACCCCTCCAAGCTAAGCCCCCTGTGGACTGAGTGTGGCATGGATCTGCCCAGGACAGAGAAGGCACTCCACTACCTGGAAGTAAGAGGCAGCTGTGGGTGGCCAGAGATGGATGCTGCCTGGACAGCTGGTGGGGAGCTACTGAGGCAGGCATCCCACAATTCACCTGGACAGATTCTGGCTTACTTCAGGGGAGCACTCCTAGTCTGGGGGGGGGGGGAATCACAAAGTCAGGCAGCAGAGAAAAGCTCCTTGCCTACCTGTTCTTCCCTCACTGCAAAAGCCCCAATGTCCTTCTTGAGGGGGAAGCCAGCACACCAGTGGGCAGACTGGTTGGCAGCACCAAATGCTGGTTTCTCCACTATAGGGACTGAACTTTACTCCCTAGTTGCACCTTTTGCCAACCCCTGGAATCGGGGCCAGACAGGATAGGGCATCTCAGGGCAGCCTTTCCTCTACCCACCATCACTGGCCCTCTTCTTTGTGGGTGCCTGCCGGAGAGTTCGGCCCTATCCTACACTAACGGACTGCCCACCTCCCTGACACAGATGGGACAGCAATGGGACCTTCCAAATGCCTAGGCCCCTGTCCAGCACATGGTGGTCTTAGGTGAGGAGTCCTTCCAAAGAGTCTGGGGTGCTTCACTGTGTCCTTGGTTCGCCCTGCATCCTGCCTTTCCAGCTTCTGCAGGAGTCATTCTCCTGCCCTGTTCATCCAGGCGACTCTCCCTGCCAGCCAAGCCCTGCAGAGCAGTGTCTCCCTGCTGTAGGCCTCAACTGACAGCATTGCCCTGCCCTGCCAGGTCTGGCCAAATCCTCCTCTCCCCGGGCACGAGAGCTGGCCTTCAGCCTGGCTCAGCGCTGGCTGCAGATGAACTTGGCTGTCTTTGAGAAGTATGGAGGTATGTTTGAGAAGGTAAGGTGGCCTTCCTGGGCATCTGCCTCTTCCACACAGCTTCCCTGTCTTCCGCCACCATCCCCAGGCCATAGCTGGCTTCTCCCTCATTTCTCCATCCCTCCCAAGCATGGAGTCTCCAGTGGAGGTCCTCTCCCACGGACCTCTATGCACTGGTCCTCAGGGTAGCTTAGCCTGGAGCAGCCATCATTGCTCACTCCTTTTCCTTTCTAGTATGATGTCGAAGGTGATGGGAAGCCAGGTGGTGGTGGGGAGTATCCAGTGCAGGTAAGAGGTCTTGATAGGTGACATTCCAGAGGGAGGGGGGAGCAGCTTCTGACCAAAGGGGCCCACTTGTTTGATCCCTCTCCTGTCTCTCTGCAGGAAGGGTTTGGCTGGACGAATGGGGTGGCCCTGCAACTGCTAGATCTGTATGGAGAGCAGCTCACGGCTGCCAGCTCTCTCTGCTCTCCCTCCTGGCCCTGGATTGGGGCCTGCCTTATCCTGGTCCTGTTCTCACAGCTTCCTGGATTGTTCGGGGATGGACCTGTCCAATGGGACGGGTAGCCATCTCCTTGGCTTGGCTCTCGAGATCCTCTGATGGGTGTGGCCCAGCTTCAGCAGAACAACTGTGGGTGTGCATACCCTGCACAGCCTATAGGAGAACCCTTCTCTCCTCAGTCGTCCCTGGCAGTGTGGCCAGACGGTGGTGCATATGCATAGGCAATAAAGTTCTCCAAGTACATTGTCAGTATTTGTCCTCACTGGCTGGTGTGCTGTTGTTCTAGGGCAGAGCGAAAACAAATGTAGTCCCAGCAGAAAAGGGGAACCAACGAGGCCAAAGGGATGAGCCTCAGGTCAGGCCATGGCTGGAAAAATCCCAAGGGAAACCTGGAAAGCCAATGGTCAGTCAGGTTTGGAATACCGAGGCAGATTAACTGAGATAAATGTAAAATGCTTCTCTAGAGTCCACAGCGACAGCTTTAAAAGGGGACTGTGACTCAGAGCCACAAGGCTGCATGAGTTGGGGGTGTTCAGGCTGCTTGCTTGGGAATCATAGGAAGAAGCAGCCTCCCCCCATCACTGATACCCAGTTCACCATGGTGGAAAATGGTTAGCCAGATCTGACGTTGCCCTTTTCCGCCCAAATCATGCCAGAGGGGACCCTCTCTAATCACTGTGCAGCCCTGCCTTGCAAGGGTCCTCGTCCTGGAGAAAAAGACACACCTGGCCTGGAGGGGGCTGAGTGCGTCATTGCTTTTTCTTGGGTTTGGTCTTGGACTGTAAATGCACCTTAATCGATTGAGCCGGTTGTTTAAATGACAAAAGGACCATATGGATGAAAGTATGCAAAAGGCTTTATTTTGCTTTCGTGTCTCTTGGCTGCAAAGACTCTAATCAACAACTTCAGCATCCCCAAGCTGCAAGGGGGAACTGTTCCCAGTTGCTTCTGCATTTTTTTAAAAAGAGCGAGAAGGCCAGCACTGGAGATGAGAGACCCAAGATGACCTTCTGGGCCAGGGGAGAGCCAGCCCTGCACTGGAAAGCCTGATGGTGGTGGTTCTATGTCTCTCACACCTCTGAAGCGGGGGGGGGGGGCTTCCTCCTGGAGTCTAGTGAAAGGTAGGAGAAGCTGCTGGCAGGGCCCCTGCTTTTGCCACTCGCGTGCCCGTCCCAGGCACCTGTGGCAGAGGAATCCATGCCTGCTGGCGGAGGCTGTCCATGGGAAGCCCTTGAGGGAGAGCTGCAGCTCTGCCCTCTGGCACTGTTCATGGCTCTGCTGCCTCAGCTCAGGAACTGGGTGTAGCCTTCAGCCCCTGTGACAATGACATCCATCCAAATGCGCAGGGCTTCTGCCGAGGGGGCCACCATGTAGTAGAGCCGGTCGTGGGTCTTGATGCAGAAGGTTAGGGCGGGGTTGGGGCTCTGCCGAGAGAAGAGAGAGGCTGCCCGGGGTGCCTCCTACCACCCTAGACCCCCTTCTGGCAGCAGGCAGAGCTAATGCTAACCCCAAGGAGGGCACTTGAACCCGCTCCCTGCCCCTGGCCTACTTAAGGGCAGAGAAGAAGGCAAAAGTGGCCCCCCAGCCCTAAAAGGGAGGGCCCGCAAAACTTCCCCCAAAGAGAAAATGGGGAAAAGCTGCTCTGTGCTACAAGACGGACCAGGACCAGGGACTACGGGCAGGGCAGGCAAGGAGTCACATGGCAGCTGTGCAATGCTAGAGCTATGGGCAAGCTTTGCCCAGGCAGTCAAAATATGCCCCAAAGATGCCCACTCTTCTCCTTGGGGCCCAGCATTAGCATTCAGGAGATGTCAAAGTTGCCTCTTCCCTGAGGCTGAAGGAGTTAGGGCCTGAGCCACGAGGAGGTTGACTGAGGAAGTGGTGCCACATTCTGCCCCTGGTGCTGCCCCCCCCCCCACCCAGTTCCTAAGGAGTTTCAGCCCAAATATTCTCCTCCTGGATGGCTCTGTTAGCTTGGGGATTCAGAACCATGCAGGGTTGCTGGGCTAGCCAGAGGAAAAGGACAGGCTGGGAAGGAAGGAAGGTCTGCGCTCAGAGTGCTCCCCTTGCCACCTCACTGCCCAGCTGTGTCTCACCTTGGCTGCGCATCGGAGGTGATCGTAATAAACCTCCTCAATGGCCTGGAAATAGATGAGGCCTTTCAGCTTCGCCTCATGCTTGTCTGCAGGGGGGAAAGGAAGAGGGAGACAGCTACACCCAGTCCCAGGGCCAAGAGGAGCAGCAAGGCAAGAGGGCCAGCTGTGATGGGAATGGGGAGCCTCACCCACGTAGTAGGAGAGGGTGTGCCGCAGGCGGTCAAAGACAAACCAGCGCTTCTTCCAGGACCGGATTTTGCCTCCCATCTTGACCAGGTAGCCTTTGCACAGCTTCTCCGAGAGGATGACATGGTTGCAGGTGTCCACGCTGTGGCCGGAGGATTCGATGTGCAAGCGCAGGTCAAAGTCCTCTTTACGGATAGGCAAGTAACGGGTCAGGGGGCGAGCCTGCAGAACAGGGTGCAGTGGAGCAGGCAGCAGGGGCCAAAGTCCTTTTGCCTCCCCCCAACCACTGTGGCCAGGAAGAAAGATCACCTATCCCAAGCTCAGCGCTGGCCTCCCAGACAGCAGAAAGAAGCCCCCCCGAGATCCCTGCCCCATCCTTGGTCAGGTGTGCAGGATGACTGGCCTGTGCTGCCAGGGCAGTAGCGCAGACCTTCCCTCTCTGGGGGGAACATGGCAGCCCTGCCCTCTGAGGGTCCTGGAGGGGCTCCTGCACACCTGAGCTAGCTGCTTCTCCCGCATCTTGACCTCCCTCTCAATCAGCTGCTGCCGCTGCGCTGTCTCATCCTGCAGCTGCCGTTCCAGCTGCTCCCGCCGCCGCCGTTCATCCTCCAAGGCCTGGTGACGCAGCTCCATCTCTTGCTCCTGCCGGAACAAAAGGGTGGGCCACTGTGCCCCTCCCAGTACCACCCACCCTGCCCCCAAGGTCCACAGCTGGATATCCAGCCCTGGGCAGGAGCTGCCCACCACCCAGGCCCCGCCATCCATGCAGCCCTGCCATTTGGGGAAGGGAGTGGAGACAGACTTCACTAGGGAGAAAGGAACCAGCCATCTCTCGAGCCCCCTCCCCAACTAGCTTGCCAGGGTCAGCTGATGAGGAATGGCTGTCCCAGAACGCTAACTTGGGGGGATCCCCATCCCGAGACTTCTCTCCTGCCCTCACTCGCGACTCCATCAGGCGGGTCCTCTCAGCCTGGGCCTCTGTCAGCAGCTTCTCCATCTCTTCAATCTTCCTGGCATCTGCCCCACTGCCACTGCAAGGCCAACCGGTTGTCACTGCCTGCCTCCCAGCCCACCTCTCTCGGATGTGGCCTGCACTTAGCAGCAGGTCAGCAGCACAGCCCACCTAGAGGCCAAGCGAGAGAGCCTGGAAAGCGGGCAACTCTAGTCGGACTCTGGTGGTGAAGGGAGCTGACCTGGAGGTGTTGTCCGGGGAGCAGGCGGAGTTCCCGCTCACAGAGAGGTTGGTCTCCAAGCTGTCCGAGCTCTCTAAGCTGAGGGTATCGTAGGCTGGCTCGGGGTTATCGGCCGGTTGATCTTGGCCCGGGAAGGGGTGACGATGGAGAACAGAGTGGGGCACAAGGGGGAAGAAGAAGGCACCTGCCTGGAGCAGCTGGCATTCCACTGTGGTCTTGTGCTTCAGGTCGGCCAGGCGCTGCCATTGCTCCTGACCTGCCTGATGTCCTGCAAAGAGACCCAGCAAAAGGAGACTCAGCACCAGCAGGACTTCACCCAGTGTCCACCCACCATGAGGGACCAGGGCCCTGGCAGAGGGGCATGGACAGAGACACCACCCACCCTTGTGCTGGAGGGATGCTTCGTGCTTCCTTCTAAGGTCGAGAAAGGTGCTGGTCAGCTTGCTGGGGGGGCTGCCTCTTTTGCCCAGTGGGGGTGGAGAGCCCTGTGGGAAAAAAGCCATGGGAGCCCAGAGAGGGTCATGCCCAAGGGGTGCAAGGCGGGGAAGGGACAAAAGCCGCTTGGCGGACCCCAGAGGGCCACGTTTCCTTGCAGGAGGATCTGTGGCCAGTGGGGACACCCCCTGCCTTGGAGCCAGCTGGGCTGCTGCACCTTCTTTCCATCTTGGCACAAGAGACCCAGGCCAGGGCCGACTTTGGGAGGGGTGCTGGCTACATTGCTCAAGGGCAGAAATCAAGCAGCAACTGCCCAGAGCCTGTGGAGGTCCAGACCAGGAATGCAAAGCGCATCCCCATTTACAAGCAAAAAAAGTGGGGGCTGTGGGATCTACAGAGAAGAGGGAGAAAGAAAGGCTTGGGAGCATCTCAGGAGACCAGCCCCCCTGCAAAGGAAGCGCAGCCTCTGAGGTCAGAACAGGGCTTGCGATTGGCCCAAGCATATTTGTGGAAAGTTGAACCGAAACAGGCCAAGGGCCTGGGGCTCCCCTGCCCATGTCCAACCTCTACTTGACCAAGACAGTCCTTCAAGGCCGTGTCCCAAGCCCTGCTGGGGATCAGTCAGCCAGAGCCATGGCTCCTCAGGCACATTCGCCCCGGCTCTCTCCTAGACTCCTCGTACCTCTTGGAGGGTGCTGGAGCCCTTGGAAAAGGCAGCGCTGCCAGTGAGTGCACAGAACCGTCTCTCCAGCGCCAGAAGGGTTTCCTTCTCCTGTTTGGGGAAAGCAGAACAAGGAGGGGGCGGTCAGAGGAACCCCCCAGACCTCTCTTGTATTGCCAGGGGAAGGAGTAGAGTTCCCCCCCACACACACAGTTGGGCACTCCTCCTCCTCCTCCCCATGGCCACAAGAGCCAGGCCTCCTCTGCGGCCTTTGCCCCTTGCCCTGTCGCCTACCAGCTCACCTGCTGCAACCGCTGCAGGGTGGCCCTCCTCTCCTGGCGCAGCCGGTCAGCCTCCTGAGCAGCCTGCAGCCGCAGCTGCTTCGCTTGGCTTTCCAGGGCAGCCACACGTTCCTGCAGCAGGGAGACAGGAGGGACACTGAGTGGAGCCACGGATGGGCTGTGCAAGCCTGGGCAGGGGCTCCGGGCTCACCTTCCGGCGGGCCAGACTTTGGCGGCCCTGGGCCTCGCTGTGCAGCAGCTGCTGGTCAAGCATCTCGCGCTCCTCCTCCCAGCGGCTCTCCTTCTCCAGCTGCTGGAACTCCAGGTCTTCAAAGAGCTTGGTCTCCGTCTCCAGGGCCTCCGCTTCCTGTGCAGGATGCGGCTGCTTAGAGGAAGCAGTCTGAGCAAGGCTGGCCAGAGAGCACAGCTGGCAGCCTCTCCACAGATATGGGGTGAGCCAGGGTCCTCTAGACAGCCCAAGGACCCTTCTTCTCAACTATCCCAGGACAAAAGCCAGGAGGGCAGAAGCTGTCTGGCACCCCTTTGTCCTCCTGAGGTTGGGCAGCAAGATCCACTCTGCGGGAAGGCTGCCCTTGCCCTCTGTCCCTTTCACCCAAAAGACTGCCGAGGCAACTTGGCCTTTGTGTGAGAGATAGGAAGGGGGGGCACTCCTGCTGAGCCTCTGGAGGGACACTGCTGCCAGTGGGCCTGAACTAGCTTCCCCTGCCCCACTGAAGGTGGGCAGGGATAGAGGAGGCACTGACCCTTTGCATCTGATCCTTCAATTGCTCCCTCATTGACTCAGGGCAGTTTTCAAGCTGGCTCTTGAGCTCAGAGTAAAACGCCCGCAGTTTCTCAAGCGCCTTCCTTTCCGCATCAACCTTTGCCCTCTCCTGAAGCCGGGAGAAAACAACACACGAAGAGGGGAGAGAGGAGAAAACAGGCTTCTCGGGAACAGACCATGCAAAGAGGGGGTTAGCAAGGGTCTCAGGTTAAGGGGGCCAAGGACCTTGTCTTGCCTCCACCAGGGGTCTGCCAGCCCACCCTCCCCGGCAGCTGCCAGGGCAGCTACACCTTTTCTCATTCTTTGGTGTAAAGTCCAGCCTTTGAGAAGCCAGCAATTTATCTACCCTCGTCTCTGCCCCAGACATCGGAAAGCTGCCTTGCCCTGTGCAAGCCTGTGCAGTAAAGCCGAAGACACAAAATGCAGATCTGGGCCTTGGAGGAGGAAATATCATTCCAGTTCCTGGCAACTTCTGGGTCATTGAAAGCTCAGATGAGTCAGTCAGTCGAGGCATAATCGGGAAACATGTCTCAAGCAGGGCCAACCCAGACTTCTACCCAAAACATTTCTGTAGCCTATGGAAGTTCTCACCCTACATCTATCCCCCACTTAAAAAAGAAAAACTGAGGACTGCTAGGTGAAGCATACATTGGAAGCCCCTTGAATAATGCCAAAGTTTCCAGGGACGGAAAGGAGTAACCATAACTAGACCAAGGCAGGGAGTATCTTGAATCGCTCAACTGCTGGGAAAAAAAGCAATGAAATTCAAAGAGAGGAATTTCACTGGGAGAAATGCAAAGCTTTAATCTGAGTATGAAAAACCAAAATCATTAGCATGGGATGGCAGGCGGCGACAGGAACCGTACTGGGCAGGGGATGTGCAAAAGGACCAGGAGTCTTGATGGATCACAAGCTGAACATGAGCCACACGTGGTGCTGCTACTAAAAAGTAAACGCTGGCTGAAGCTGCATCAGCAGAAATATAATGCCAAGATCAAGCAAAATGGTGGTGCCTCTTTATTGTGTGTTAATCAGACCATACCTAGAATACTGTGTCCAGTTCTGGGCACCACATTTAGGACAGAGACTGACAAACTGGAATGTGTCCCAGAGGAGAGTCACCAGATGATAAGGGGCCTGGAAGAAAAGACCTACAAGGAACAGTTGAAGGCGTTTGTCAGGTATGTTTAGCCTGGAGGAAATTGGGGGGGGGAGAGAGCAGGGGGGAGACATGGTAGCTGTTTTCAAATAAATTGCTCCGGAAGACAGGACAAGGAACAATGGTTTTAATTCACCAAGAAGCAGACTTTGGTCAGACGTAGAATAAATCTCCATGGCCAAGACCTGCAGTCCCTCCTGCCAGAGGCATTCAAGAGAGGCGAGACCAGCCTCTGCGGCAGATGCTGTAAGGAGTGGACTCTGCATGACCCCCATGATCTCTTTCTGTCTTTTCCTTCTAGGATTGGCAAAACCAGGATCGATAGTCCAACTTAGCGAGCACAGGAGAATAAACCATGCAACTGCAACTGACACACCTGAGGCTGCTGCAGGACTTTGGTTCTCCTGGGCTGCTCAACCTGGGAACCAGCCTCAGAATTGGGCTTTTCCAGCCTCCAGGTGCAAAACAGGTAAAGGTTCTCCTAGGAGGAGCAGAAAGAGCATCCTCCTGACAGGAGCTGGGTGGAACAAACAAGTCCGGGGTACCACCTGCTCTTCCCAGGCACAGCTTCTCAAACTTCCCTCAGAGACAGAGTCTGGGTTGGAATCCCGCGTGACCGGATGGACCATCCCCTAGGACTCGGCCAGACAGTCCTTTCTCAGGCAGGGATAAATGCAAAAAAAAAAAAAAAAAAAGGGGGGGGGGAGGATCTCCAGTTCTGCCACCCCTTCCCAAGCAGGTTGGAGCTGCCACCCCAGATGGCCTATAAGTGTCATGCACTGGGGGCTCGCAAAAAGGGAAGGGGGGATACCACTAGGGCAGAGCGGGCAACTGAGCCTGCGCTCTGCGTCTCCTCACCCAGAGAGTCTATCTGCAAGCAGCAAGCAGGCGGAGGAAGAGAGAGAGCAAGAGAGAAAAGAGAGGGATGGGTACAGTTAGTGGGGGCCGGGAGGTTAGTGGTTGCCCTCCGGCTCCCTGTGTCAGCAAAGATTGGAGGGAGCCAGGAAACACGGCCCCACGGGTACCTGGGCCAGACCAAAGGTGAGCAGCAGGGGAGGCAGGAGTCAGGCCAATTGGCCCCCAGCAAGAGCTGTCAGTTCGCCAGGTTACCCATGGCCTCTTTCTTGAGATGCGCAAAGGGTCCTCCCCAAAAGCTAGAGGGAGGGGCTTCATCTAAGGACTAGCAAAGCGCCTCAGGAGAGGGCAGAACCTGCTAAGCAAGCAAGTGAAGGGAGGGTAGCTTTGCCCCCCCCCCATCACTTTGAGCAGCGCACTGCTAGGCTGGAGGCTCCCCAGCCAGTTACCTTATCTCGCTTGTGGCGAATGCTGGCATCCAGGCCCGAGAGCTGCTCCTCCAGGAGTTGCACTGCCTGCTGTTCCTGCCGCAGCTGCAGGATCTCCGATTCCCGCTCGCCCTGCAGGAGGGCCTGCTCTATCTCCGCCTGGGCAGGGCAGAACGACAGCTGCATGAGCACCACCAGCCACCGGCCTCTTCCTGCCCTCCAAGGATGGGTGGCACTGCCAGTCTCTCAGCAGGACAGCTCCCCCTTCACCTCCCAAGCAGTCTCTCGCAGCTGCTGCTCCAGCCCCTTCAGGCAGCTCTTGAGGTAGTCTGCACTGGCCAGCAGGCGGGCGTGCTCCTCTTCCAGATGGGCCAGTTCTGGAGTAGGTGGCACCTCGTGCTGCAGAGGAAGTGGCAATTCAGTCTCCCCATGTATGGATGAGGGCTTCCCCAACCTCCCTCCAGAGGGGAAGGCTGCCTCCTAGGCCATGGCACCGGCCAGCAGCTGGTCAGGGAACGCAGAGCCTTTCTGCCCACCTCCTCACCTCCTGGCCGGCACTCTCGGTGCTGCTGCTCTCCTCCTGCAAGTTCTCCTCCTCCCCTCGCTCCCGGCAGGGGCTGCTCCCTGGTGGGGGGGGCACCCCATCAGCAACATTGGCACTGCCCTCTTGGCCCAGCTCAGTGTCCCCCTTGGTGTACTCGGCACACAGGCTGAGGATGGTCTCCAGGCGCTGGCGCTCCTAGGTGCCCAGAGAAAAAGCAAGAGACACAGGAGGCTTGTGAGATGGAAGGGCCGGGCACATGACCCCCTGTGGCAACTGGGTTTGCTCTCTGACTGACCCTCACCAGGCTTACCCAGGGCGCTCAGGGGGTAGCAGGCTGGCTTATGGCAGGTGTTGCACCAGCTGTGTCAACCCAGTTGTGTCTATGCCCAACTGAGGGCAGGCAGGTGGGCAGAGAGCAGAGGCTGCCAGCAAATGGCCCCGTAGCTGCTCCTGGAGAACTTAGAGAAGGTGAGGGCAAGAGGATGGGAGGTGCTCGGAGAGCCCATCATGATGAGGTCCAGGAAAGAGGCAGCAGGCCTGGCCTCTTGGGCAGAGCAACAGGAAACCCAAGGCTCCTCTGCCAAGGGCAGAAGATGGCATTGAGGGAGACAGCAGGGATCGAATGCCCAGGGCAAACGGGCATTCAGGCCAGGAAAGACAGCTTGGATTGCTTTGGGTGAGTTGAAGGGGTAAATGTTCCTGTCCCGAGCCTCAAACTATGAAGGCGGTGCTGCCAACCCGAGGCAGCAGTCCTGACTGGCCAATCCCTGGCTTCCAGTCACCGGATGCTTGTTGGCCTGGCGCTGATTGGAAGGGCAAGAGTTAGCCCCAGGCCAGCAGAGGTTGTGCTGCAAAAGCAGGTACGATCACAGCAGCATAGCATGAGAGGAAAGCACCAAACTTTCTCCCAAAGTAGCTCCCCTGCCTTGGCCCTCTGATACATTTCTCTCTTCTGCATGCCTTCCCAGCCTATGATGCCAGGTCCGCTTGGACAGAATTTGTCCACCTTTCCTGCACTGAGGGCTTGTGCCACGCATCCTTTGCATCAACCCCCCGTTCTCCACAGTGAAGCTGAATCCCCCGGCTCGCCTCCTGCTCACCAAGCGCTCCATCTCTTGCTCCCGGAGACGCTCCTGGCGCTGCCATCGGTGGTACTCCAGCAAGTCACTCTCACGCACACCCAGCAGCTTGGAGATGCTCTGCTTGCGCTCTTGCGAGGGGCCCAGCAGCCGGAACTCCCCAGACCCCAGGTGGCTTGGCTGGGGAGAATCCAAGGGCAGGACGAGGGAACCCAAGCTGGAGGCAGGGCCAAGACCTGGTCTGCAATGGGGCTTCCGCTGGGTGGATTCTCCAGGGAGGTGGGGAGGCGAGGGACTGCGGGTCCTCAGGCAGCAGGAGGAGGAGGAGGAGGGGGTGGAAGAGGCTTCCCTCCGCCATACCCCAGAACTCTGCCCAACCTTGCCCTGCGAAGAGTGGCTACTTCCAGGGGCCGGGGAGACTGCTCGGTGCCCCAGGGCTGGGCTGAGCGGGGGCAGTTTCCGGATGCCCTCCAGGGACCGCCGGCTGAGCAGGGGACTCTCAGGGGCCCGCTGGGCCCAGCTGGACTGAGAGGCCACGCCTGGCAGCCCTGACCCTTGGCAGACTGACTTCCCCAGCTGGGCCGGTTGGGAAACCCTGACCGGCAGCATTTCCAGGAATGGGCCGGGGACAGGCTCCTGGAGGGCTGCAGCCTTGCCCTGCAGCATGCCAGGCAGCCGGACAGCCTTGGCCGGGCAGGGGTTCCTGGGCGATGGTGACCGAGAGCTTCTCAGTAGCTTCTCCTTCAGTGGGGAGGCAGCGTGCTGGCTAGGATGGGGATCTTCTGCAGGAGGCAGGGGGCTTGTGAGGCCGTCCCGCTGGACTTTCCTCTCCACCCGGGGGCTCCCTGAACCGCAAGCAGAGCTTAGGAAGCCATTGGAGCTGCTCAAGGGGTCTGGGCAAGGCCCCCCGTGGGGCAACAACGCAGCATGACAGTAACTGGAGGATCGGACAGGTATCGCAGGGGGGAGGGTGGGAGCTTTCTCCCAGCAGCTGGACGAGGGGTACCAGCAGCTGCTGCTGCTGCTGTCAGGGGAGGAGAGCGGAGAGAAGGGGGGAGAGGAGGTGTTTTCATATGTGGACCCCATGGAGATGTTTCCAGGGCTCTGGGGTGGGGACAGAAGGGAACAGCCCCCCTGGCTGTTTGCTGTTGGGGATGGAGGGCTCCCATCAGCGCTTTCCTCCTGCAGCACCAAGGAATCCATTATGCCCTGCAGGTCTCTCTCAATGGAGCTGACCAGGGAGAGCGATGCCCCCTCGGAGTTGCTGTTGATGGGGCTCTGCTGCTCTGCTGCAAAGAGATGGCTGTCTCAGAAGGGAGAAGTCTCAGCTGCCTCCTCATTCCCCCTTCAGGCCAGAGCACCTGAGCCCCCCCCCACCCAGAGGTCAAGCACCCAGCACCCCCACCTTCGAAAGGCCTCTCCAGATGCCCAACTACAAGGTCCCCATCAAATCTGCCATCCCCCAGGGCTGGGGAGGAACCTCCCACTACTCAGCCAGAAGCCCCGGGGAGCCAAGTGGCCCCCTCGGAACCACCTCCCGCACCAGACCCAGTCGTGCAAAGGACCCACCTGTTCCAAGCCCATATGGGACCGCTGGGCTGTGTCGCTCACCGGGCACTGCTTGGCTTTTCATCCGCTTGGCCTCAGCTGGGTGACTGAAGCGGAGGAAGGTCGCTCGTCCCAGGCAGATCACGTGCCCTGGAAGAAGAAGCCCCATCAGCTAAGCAGACCCACTGAGAGATCAGGTCCAGCAGTGCTGTCTGCCCTGAGAGTGGCAGCTGCCTCTGGAAAGCTCTAAGTGGCTTTTGCTCCTCCACATCTCAGGGCTTCCTACCATTGGGCAACTGCAATGCGCCTTCTGTGGGGCTGCCTTTGGAGACAGAAGTCTCAGCAATGCTGCTAGGGTGACCAGGGCACGACTGCCACCAGCCACAAAGCCCAGGAAAGATCCTCTGCCCACAGCAGCAACTCAGTCCAGCCCTCCTAGCTGGCTCAAGTCAGAGCTGGACCTTCCTCAGAGTGGCCGGTCTTCAGGAAACTTTGTATGAATGGGCCTGAAGGCCCCCCCCTCCCCCCGCTGCTCTTCAGTTTGTGGTGCTGAACATCAAAAACATTCCCTCCCTCCCCAGCCACCTTCCAGCTGATTAGACTGCTGTAGACTCCCCAGCCCACACAGGGACAGGCCAAGTGCAGAGAATGAGGTGGTGCCCTTGACAGAGAGGTGCAGAATGTGTTGCCTGATCAAAATAGAATGAGGCCATTTTTAAAAGTCCAGAAAGTCCAGATATTGCTTAGAAGTGGTTCAGGCAGATGCCTCCCTAATTTACTGAAGAATGAGGAGGCGGGCCAGCACAATGAGACTGCCAGATCCCATTATTACAACCCATCTCAAAAGTAGTCTGGAGTTGACCTCTCAGCACGGTCTGCTTAGTAGGGTTGATAGAAGTTCACATTCTCACAACGCTTGCGCACACCTGTTCCAGCCAGTCCTACCCTTGTTGTAATGGCAGGGCCCAGCCAGGAAAGGGCCAAGTAGTCACTGATGCTCTGGGGGTGGCTGCTCCGTGCCAGAGAGGATCTGTGGTGGGCATCCAGCTGGCAGGACTCTCCTGTGGTGGAGAGTGGGAGGCCAGTGGGAGCTCTGGCCACAGCCAGGCTTGGTATTGGAAAAGCAGACAGACACCCAGAGAAACCCCCCCCCCAGGGGGTCCTCCTGCTCTCCCCAGCTTTCCAACCCATGCCTGCTGCAGAGCTGAGCCTGAGCTACCCTGAATTGGGTGCCTGGCGGAATAACATTCCATGATTCTTGGCCTCAGCAGACAGACCAGCTTCCACCATTGGGAGGGGGCATCTGAAGTCAGGAAATGCAGCCCCAGCACACCTGCCTGTGCCCTCCCCTAATACGGGTTCTCTGGAGGCTTTGCCTTGGCCAAGGGGCAGGCACGGAAGCCAAGAAGGGCGTGGCTTGCCTGGAAGGCCCTCTGTCCCCTCGGCCGCAACGTCAGCAGCTGTGCCTCTTGGAAGGCCAGGCAGCAGCCTTCAGTCTTCATTTAGTCTGACCCCTAAACTCCCCAGGCAAAGCAGAAGGAAAACGGCAATTCTGCGGTTCTGAATCTCAAAACAAATATTCCATTGGTATCAGTTCACTGGCCAATTATGGAGCAAACAAATGAAATGGAAGGTTACTGCAAAGGGAGCTCTGATGTGCTAAAGAAAGCCTGTATGGTCTAACCACCTCCTCCCAAATGATTACACACCCAGCCCTTCTCTGCACAAGATCAGACCTGACACTCCCCCCCAAGAAACTGGGCTGTGGGACGGGGGCCTGGCATACTTGGATGAAGGGGAGGCGTCTCAGAGCACAACCCCCAGAAATGGGCCCCAAAGAAAGGTGGAACCACCAAGGGCTCAGTGGCAACCCAAGCTGCAGACGGAGCCCACAAGCTTCCTGGACAAGCAGCTCAAACCTTCCCTGCTCCAGAAGGCAAGCCAGCCTCCCCTGCAGCTGAGGGGCCTATTCTGCATCTGGTTTGGGAAGCCCACTCCCCTCAAGGTAGCCAAAACCAAGCATGCTATCCTCAAACAGCCATCTGCTATTTTGGTTTATCCTGTCAGCCTGGTCCCCAGAACACACTTACCCCCAACCCTGAGATTGCCAATGTAACAAGCTACTGCTGGTAGAAAGGATTACAACATAGACAAGCCCACAGAAGCTCTCTGGGAAGATGGCCACAGCCACAGAGTCACTGCAAAAAGCATTTGGGAAGGAGGGGGGTCCAAACACATCAAGCAACTGAGGCAAAGTTTACTAGTGGAGGGGAAAGTTCAGGGTCTGTGACAACTCAGAAAATTCGCATGCAAAAGGGAAATGGGGAGGAGCATAAACTCGAGGCCAGGCACCTTCCCCTGTTTTAGGGGAGAAAGTCCCCTCTTCAGAGGGGGCTCCCTAAGGCCAGAACCCAGCGGAAGGTGGGGGGTCAGCGGGTCACGGGGCCACCCTCCGCCCTTACACAGAGCACAGCATTCAATATCGAAATCTGCCACCTTTGCCACCCGCCACGCTTCCCGACCGCCCCATCGCTGGGCAGGAAGGAGGGCAAGCCAGCCAGGGAGGGAGGGTGCGCTGGCTTTGGAGGATGGGGGCTGGTGAGGCGAGGAGGGTGGCCTCAGCCGCCCCGCCCCCCTCCGGAAGGCTGAGCTGCCCGACCCCTCGCTGGGAGGAAGGGCGCCGTCTAGACCCCGCAGCCCTCCGAATCCCGCCCGACTTTCTTTGCAGCCCCAGCAGCTTACACGGCGGGCTCGGCTCCCTGGTGGACCGCGGGGGGGGGGACGACCGCCCCGAGGGGTCTCGGCGCCCCTGCCCGGATCAAGCGCCGAGCCCGGCAGACCGCTCGCCTGGCCACGGATGCTCCGTAGATGCAGCGCCCCGCGCGCCAGGCTGGCGCTTCCCCCGCGCCCAGCCCGGAGCCAGCCCAGCGGAAGACGGCTGGCCTTCCGTCCCCGAAAGACCGCTCGGGGGCAGAGGCTGGGCCGGCCGGCCGGCCGCTCCCCGGCGGAAAGCGCCGAGCATCGGCGGCTGCCCCGGCCGCGCCTGTAGGGTGCGAGGCGTCGCGCTCCAGAATGCCCGGCGCCCCGGCCGCATCCCCGGGGCCAAAGAAGCCGCGAGCTGGGCGGAGCCTCCCGTGTTGTCGCCGGACGCCTCCGGGATGGCTAAAAATAGCGCCGAGCGAGCGGTGGGCGGAGGCAGGGAGCGTCTCGCCCGCCCCGCCCGAAAGACCTGGCCGGCTCCCTTCAACGGCGGCCCCCGCCCGCTGCGCTCTGGGCTGCCCTGCCGGCCGTCGGGCCCCTCTGGCCCTGGCGGCGCTCCTGCCCCGCGCGCCCCGCTCCCAGCGGTTTTTCCGCCGGAGCGACAGGGGGCTGGAGATTCCGCTTCGCTGGCAGCCGCCCTGAAGTCCTCTTCAGGAGCTCCCAGTGACTGACCGGGCCGGGACTTTCCCCCAAGCAGGCCTGGGTCTGCTGGCCTTCCAGCGCAGCCAAGGCTCGATCCACTACTGGCTGCGAAGGGATGAAGCAGGGAGGGAGCTAACCTGGAGAAAAGCCACTTGGCTACTTCATGTTCAAGGCTTCTGGGCAATTCGTTTTAAAATGTTCTCTTTCCAGGCTCTCATCAGACCAAAAATGTGATTCAGACAGGAAGTGATGAATCTCTGGAAAAGTTGACGATGTGATTTTTGTTGCAGTCCCAAAGAGAAGCAGCAATAACTAGACAATGGGGGCAGGGGAGGGGAGGGGCACAGCTGTGGGAACCAAAGCTCACAGAACCCTACCCCCCCCTTGAGGGGGCTCTTGCCAGGCTCTGCCTCAAAGCATTCCTCCCCTGCTGTCCTTTCTTAACAACCAGCAACTGGGACTGCCAGAAGCAGCACAATCGTGTGACATTTACAATTCATGACTGCATCATGGAGTGACTCGCAATTCTGGTCCCAAATGCCATTGTAAACTGAGGACTACCTGCCAAACTGGAGGCCAACTGCTTGGATGGAAGGTGATGTTGGGGAGATATCTGAGTAGGACATGCATCTATTTAAAGCCTCACAGAGGCCAACAGGCGCCTCCCAGCCAGCTCTGGCCCACGGACTGTGTTTGTTGCTATCAGCGAGTCCCAAAGATGGGCAGGGCCCACAGCCTCACTTGGTCCAATATACACGGTCTGGCCTGTAAGGAATCCAGCTGCAGCCACCCTTGGTCAGGAAATCCCTCTCTTCCTTTTAATATAAAGATTTGTAACTTTCCTGGCTGAGACCATAAGGGAGAGCAGATCCCACCCTACAGGGTCAGCCACAGGAAAAGCATGGGCTGCTTTTCAGTGGGGCCACTGAGAATGGCCCAGGGCTGCCTGGTTCTACACCCCCTGCAAAAAAACCCCATCAGTTGGCTAGACCAAGAAGTGGCCCCCGACAGGCTGGCAGCTCCTGGGCATGAGCAGAGGTCAGCAATGGGGTCTTATTCCAGGCGATGGCTGGGCATGGCTTGGGGTCTTGCTTCCCTATTAGCAGTTGCCCAGCCTTGGGTGACTGAAAGAACGCCCCTCCCCAACTCTTGCCTCATTCTCCTTTGGCCAGCAAAGCTGCTTCTCTTGCCAAGGATGGGGTTACCATGGTGATGCTAAGAGCTGGCCTTCCACTGTGGCCTGGCAGAGAGGTTCCCTACTCAGTATTGACCCAAGGCACAAGGAGATTGGCTCCTGCCCTGCCATCCGCCAAAGAGCTCTTAGGCCATCCTTGGAGGCCTCCTTCCTGCAGAACCCCCCTCTGGCTTTGTGTGGCTCGCTGTGTTTGCCCAGAGCTGTAAGGAGGGAGTATATCTCTTTGTTGGACCTTGTGGGTGGACTCTCCCCTCCCCTCAAAAATTGTGCATGGCTTAGCTCAACTGGAAGTCCATCGGCCAGGGAATGGAGTGGGCCCACACGTGTAGGAAGACTCAAAGGCAAGAGGGACTGTGCACTAATGTGTGTCCCATCGGGATGAACAGCTCTGAGTCCAGAAACACTTTAGAATCCAGAACCAAGCATTCCCTGGATGTACTTGGCCCAAGATAGCATAATGGATGTGCAGATCTCTATGTCTGATCAGCAGAGCCTCGCTTCTCCTTACCTTGGGACAAGCGGGTGGGGTGCGTTATCGGCTGCCCATCGATGGCACAAGGATGACCGCAGGGGTGCAGCGTGAGGGTCCCACACACATTTTCAATGAAGCAGTGCTGGGGGGCCACCCCAGCCCCCTGTAGCACAATGTCCCCAGCAGCGGAGCCCAGGACTGTCTTGCCTGCAAGGAGACTCTATGAGCGTGGGGGCACTCTTTCGAGGGGAGAACAGAGAAGAGAAGCCTCCCCCCAAGACTGCAAAGACATACCCTCTTCCAGAGGCAGCAGAGTGATGGCAGTGCTGAGGCGCCCGCTGCCGAGGCTCACCAGGTGTGGCTTCTGCGTCTGCACCTTTAAACCTCGGCCGGTCTCAGTCAGGTCCAGGAGGCTGTTCTGCAGGGTAGGGGAGAAAGATCTTCAGCAGCAGCAGGGCCCCCCTCCTCCTTCAAGAATGGCCAGGAGATTCAGTCAGAGGTCAAGATGGGGGGGGCAGTGCAGATAGGTGTGGGCTGTATGCTCAGGGTCCCAGAGTCAGCCCCTTCCCCAGGCGCTCACGGCTAGTCCTCAAACGGGCAAGAGCAGAGGGCAGCCTGGCTTCGCTTTTGGCCACTCCTGGCATGAGCTCCCTCCCTCTTAATTGCCATCCTCCAGCCAGGCAGATTGAGGGTGATTGCCAGGAAGGGTAGGAAAAGGCAAAAGAGCATGTTGTCCAACAGCTTTAAAAGGGGCAGTGAGGGGGAAGCGAGCTGAGCAAGCGTCAGTGCTGGCTGATTCAGGAAGGGCTTCCAAAGAGGGATCTCCCACTCCTTGGCCTGCAGGCTCCCTCTCCTGTCTGAAAACCTCAGGACAGGATGGGGTCCCCTCCTAGCTACCACTGCCACCCGGGAGGCCCAGCACATTCTGATGGGCAGGGGGTTTGCCTGGGTCACCCGCTTACCTGAATGGGCTTCTGCACTTGGCAGGGGGGAGCAGCTAGGTTGTGGTTGCAAGTCTCCATGGTGGGGCTCCTCTTTGCCTAGGAGGAAAAGAGGGGGGTGCCAGGGCACAGGTCGCTGGAGAGCCAAGCCCCATGCAAGATGCACCTGCTGCCCTGCAGGCTGGAATACAGGACAGGTCATGGCTGCCCCTAGGAAGGGGAGGCCTCTGGTTTTCCCCCTCCCTCCATTCCCTGCAGTGAGGGAGGGACGGAGGGGAGTTTGTTGCTTTGCCAGCTGTGGTCCAGGAGGAACATTTCCCAAGCACGCTCCTATCTAAGCAGATAACAGTGTACCTGTTTCTGAAGTCCATTGAAGAACAAGACATGCATTTCAAAGTAGTTGCTATTTAGCAGCAGGGAAGAAGAGGGAGCAACTGAGCTTTTAAGCAGCTATCCTGGCAAGTACAAGATTACTTTATTTTATGACTAACTAATTATTAGCACAAACATCTAAAATTATCTTCAGCTTCATTAAGTTTAACAAAAAGCTAACTTCTCTCTATTGTTTTCTGCTCAATCATCAAGATATTGTGGCACTATAACTGCAGACACTTTCATGGATCATGGATCATGGTCACCAGGGGACAACGACCCTCAAGTAGACCTGCACAAGAGCACTTTAGTGAGGAAGGCAGCAGCCAGGAGATGCAGGTCCATGTCCTTCCTCAGCATGGGGGAGGGGGATTTTCTCTCAGCCTGGCCTACCTCACAGGGTTGCTGGGATGGGGAAAAACTGAAGGAAAGGGAGCTCTTTATGCCATTTATACACCCCCAAGCTCCTGAAACAAAGGCAGGGTATCAATCTTAACACTTGTACACAAACAGAATATTTCAAGGCTTCTTGGGTGTTTCTCTGCAAGAGACGAGCATCAATTCCCCTCTGAAAATATTGCAAGGAATAACTAACTGCTTGGCAACCAATTACAGCCACAGCTGGGTTTTATCACTACAAAGCATGGGGTCACTCATGGCTTGTTTTCATTGCAGCATCCCTGGGAGAATCTTAGCTCCTGCATCCAAACTCCTCTGCACCTGCCAAAGATTGGTTGGGGTCTCTGTGCCCCTACCCCAATTCCAGATTCCCTTGCTTCAATGCCAGCCTGCTGAAGACCTTGGAGAAATTAAAAATTGGCAGAGTGAACATAAATGGCCAGTAAAGGCAGCTTCCCAGTCTAGAACATCTTACCTGGGTGCTCCTTCTTCACTCAGCATCCCCCAGCATTCCTCCCTTCCTGAGTAAAAGGAGAAAGATCTTGCCCCCTTTCTACCATCCTCAAGCCCAACATCTGCATTGGCTCAGGAGAGCCAGCAGGGCACTGCCTGATCTGAGTGCCTCCCTCCCCAGCCCCACCCCATCCATGGTCCTCCTTCCAAGGGATAAGACAGAGAGGCCAGTGACTGCCTTGTTTGTCTTAGACTGTCCAAGGAGGAGAGTGCCACTCCCCAGAGGAAGGAGGCTTCTGGTCTCCTGGCTGCTCCCCCTTCTCTCTCTTCTTCCTACTTACAGCCACAAGCCCTGACAAGCAGGCTCTGTTTGAGGAGGGAGGGGGGGGGAGTTGTACCTTGTCAGCCACAAGGCGCCTTTCTTCTCTGGGCTGCCAGAGAATGAGTGCCTTGTGTGGCTGGGAGTGGCAGGGCAGCAAAGCCAAGGCGGGAGCTCCAGCCTGGCTGGATCAAGGCCTGCAGGGCTAGTCTCTCCCTCCTGCTGACCCTTGCCAGAGGAGGAAAATGGGGAGGAGAACAACTGACTCCCTTCCAGCCTTGGAGGAACACCACAGGCTTCAAGGCCACCCCCCCCCAGCTTTCTTTGCCTCAGAAGAGGCAGCCTGGAAAAAGTGGGGGTGGTGTAGCCCTTGGCCTGGGCCCGGCCCAGCCCAGCTCAGCCCCAGCTGCTCGTGGCAGCCAGGCTTCAGGAGAGCTTCTGACGCAGGATCCATCAAAAGGCACGGAGGTGGAGTGGGGTAAGAGTCCCAATTGTGCTAGCCAGCACCAGTTCCACCCTGCCAGAAATTGTTCTGTACCAGCAGGTCAAGGTTCTTCCAAAGCCCAGCTCAATCTTTGGAGCCACATCTGTGTCAAGCCTCGACCCAAAGATGAGGCAGGTCTGGGCTCAACCAGAGGCCGAGAGCAGCAGGGTGCATCTGCTAACCCCAAGTACTCTGTGGTCTTCCTGGGTTCAGAGAGAAAACTGTCAAAATTAGCACTGGTTCTGGGAAAGGAGGAAGACAGCTTTTGGGACTGGTGGCCCACTTGCTCCCCCAGCTCAAATCAGCATGCTTGCCTGGGGTATCCTGTGCTGGGCAGCCACAGCTCCACTGCAGGAAAAAAGCCACAAGGAGAGGGCAGTAAGTGGCACGAGGTTGCAACCGCTGGTGTGTGTGGGGGAACATGGTCAGCATCAGGAGAGTAGATTCTCCCAGAATCTTGCTTTTTTCCTGAAGGACCTTTTCTCAGACCCACAACAGAAGGGAGTGGAACGAGGAGTAGATAGCTGCCCCAAGTCCAAAGCTTCTGAGTCTCAATCAGATGATGCTACAAGACCACCAGCTCAGATTATTTCAGAGCCCAGCCCCAAGAAACATTCAGGCAGGCTAGTCAATGTCACCGCCTGCATCTCCCACATTTGCCTCACAACAATCCTGCAAGGTAAAAACTTGTTCTGGGATTACTCAGCAGCTCAAGTCTCGGATGCAGAGCTCCTACCCTGCTCGGCGCCCGGAGCTGCAGGATCCTCCACAGCTTCCCGGCGATGCGGGAGAGGGCAAACCCTGAGGTCTCCTCACCCGGAGACCGGACTGCCGTTTTCTGCCAAGCAACAGCGAGGGACGGCTGGAGCCACGGCCGCGTGGAGCTCCCACCCACTCCGAGACCGGCAATTCAGAGCGAGCAGGGGGTCTCCTCTCGCCTGGAAGCGGACCCGCTGGGACCGAGCGCAGGTGCGCGGCAGGGACGGTCTTGCCGGCTTTTGCGCGCAGTGTAGCTCTCCCCCGATCCGCAGCGCGGGTGCGGGAGAGAAGCGCCAGGAATGCACGGAATGCGCCACGTCCAGGCAGGCAGGCAGGCAGGCGGGGGGCGGGGCGGGGGCGGCTACCGGCCCATCGATGCCCCCTTCAGCCGTCCACTGAGCTGCGCTCGGCCAGAGACTCGCTGGCCGGAGTCAAGCGGAGAGGCGCGGCCGCCCTTTCCACCTCGTGCTCGGGCGGCCCAAGGATGCCACCCACTCAGGTCTCCCGGGGCGGAATGGCCTCCGGCCGCTCCGAAAGTAGGAAAGGTGGTCCGGGCAGCGGAGAGGCGCCTCCAGTATTACCTGCGCGCCCCGCCGACCGGGCGCCCGTTCCGCCCGCACCTGCCAAGCAAGCTTGTCCGTTTGATGCCCGATGTCTTCGGAGCTGCCGTCGCCGCCGCCCGTCCGCGCTGCTCGCTGAGGGCTGAAGCGCCGCCGGCCGAGGAAGGAGGAGCGCCAGGCGGGGGCCCGCCGCCCTCGCGGGTTGCTCCCCCTTTGCGCGCGCGCGCGCTCGACCAGGCCCGCGGGCGGCTGGGGTGCGCGCGCCTCCCTAGCCGTTCCGGGTCCCGGAGGGCCCTCCCGCCGCCTCCGAGCCGGAGCTTCGCGGCAGAGCCTGCTCTGAACAAAAGGCCAGGGCGGGGAAGGTGGCTGCTCGGGCGGGCTCGAGCTCGGCCTCCGTTCGCCCGAAGAAAAGGAGAGCTCAGCAGCCCCTGCAGGGCGGCCGAGCCGGACCCGCCGTTCTCGCTCAAAAGAGCCGAATCTCTCCGCAGCTCCACCTGGCCTCCCCACTCGGAAGCCCCTCGCCGGGGAGGCGGGACCGGGCTTTAACAATCTTGGTCCTTGGTGTGTGGGGGGGATTTGTCACTCATTGACGCATTTTTAATTTTTTAGGCAAAAATTTTGTGCTGTCCTAATCCTACACTTCTAGGCGCTTAGGACTCCAATCAAAATATACTTTAATAATAGCAGTCCCCAAGAGCTAAGCTCCTCCTGCCGGGTGAATGATTTTACGGTAGTAAAGGACGCACAATTCCGGCTCCCAAGTTTTATCTCCACACGGCTGATCAAGCACTTTGTCATCAATTAAGATGTTGGCTCCTTTTGCACTACTTGAATTTTATCCTGCCTGATTAGTGTGGGATTGTTCTTTGCTTCCAGAACTGCAGAACCGTTTTCGCCTTTAATAAAAAACGTCAGTGAATAGGTACAGAATGGAACTTGGTGGCCCTGCTTAACCCTGTCTGTGTGCAGAGCCCCCCCTTCTTAAAAACAATAAAATCCAGCACTTTGAAGAATGGCTAAAAACTAGGCAATGCAGCTGTCCCCACTGGACCCGAGGACAATACTAGCTGGCTGAATTGTTATGGCAAGGGACAGGGATGTATATTTACAGTCTCTGGCACAAAATCTATTTAGAAAATGAGAAATGTCAGCGGGCACTCCTGGCTGGAGTAGGGAAGTGACAAGAGTCTGGTATGTCTATTTTGGCACTGACTACATAACATCTGAAAACCATCAATCTCATGATGCTGCTTGACCTGAAGCCATAGCAGCCACCAGCTCAGACCTTCCCAGTCACTCCTGTGGTAGCTCAAGGGAGCCGGACATGACACGTTGCAGGAAGGTCCCTGCCCCTTTGCAGATTGTCAGCTGGTGGACATACAAGGGAGCCCATGCATTTTGACTTAAATCCAACTTCAATCAGAACAGAGCTGGAAGGAACCTTGGAGGTCTTCTAGTCCAACCCCCTGCACAAGCAGGAGACCCTGTACCATTTCAGTCTTTTCTTAAAAATCTCCCATGATGAAGCACCCATGTCTGAAGGCAAGCTTACTCAGATGGGATGAACAATAGATGTTAGATAAAGGAGGGGGCAGTGTCTCTCTTCTCATAGCCTTTTTCTTTACCTAGAAGCCGACCTACAGGAAAGTGAACCTTGGCTCCCCCCCCCCTCCCCTGAAGTTCAGCTTGCAGCATAAACAGCTCAGGCAAACCTCTGCATTATCACAGGAAACACATTTCACTATATGCAGGCCACCAGGTGCAGCTCTGGGGATAATGGGAGAAAGGCACAGGTTGGGTGCAGGGAGATCTAATGTAGAATCTGGTCTGGAATTTGATCTCCTTCCTGGAGTGCTCCTGAGGGTCAAGCTTCCAATTTGCTGCTCTGCAGGACAAGGTGCAGTGCTAACTTGCCAGGACAGGCTCTGGACAAATAGATTTAAACCACAAGAACCGAAACAGGGTAGGAGTTTGTGCCTGAGGCCTCCGATTCACTCTGGAAGCAAGTCAGCCGTGTCCCCACAGATGCCAGGAATCGAGGAATAGGCCATCTCAGACAGCCACTTTACGGAGCATGAAGTTAAATGTGTACTGGAGTCCTTAGTACAGGACAGTTCATTACTTCATCAGCACTGACGGTAATGAAAAGCCTGCAAGAAAACAAGCAAGCTCAGAGAGCCCCAAGGACCCCTCATTTCAACCAAGCTACAAATATTCTCCTTTATTGGTTAAATATGTATTTGAAGAATATGACTCTTTATTTTGAAGGAAATGCAATTGGCCATCTTACCATACATTTTTCATGATCGTAACATATCACATTTTAGCCTGAGGCCCCCAAATACAGAAGCAAAGTTCAGTTATAATTTAGTCTCAATATCTTAGAGGAGTCTTGCATTACTTAAATGCCTGCTCCAGACTGAGGTGTTCCTTCGACACTGGCCCAGTCTGCCATCCTTTCTGCCCTGAGCCCCCACCCTGTCAGCTGCTTCCCCAATCACCAGGGCTGGACAAGTGAAGCTGCCTGCCTTGCCTTCTCATTTCTGATGGGTCCCAGTTCATGGGGGGAGATGCTCCTTCATTTTCTTGGACTACCTCACCCATCTGAAGCAACTGTGTTCTCCTGAGGCAATTACTTTTTAGATCCAGCAATGCTTCAGGACTCACCCTCAGTCCTCGTTTGCCAAGAGCTAAAGAGCACTTTTTTTTTTCTTTTATAATATTCTTTATTGGATTCAGGAGCAACGATTCTTTGTATACATTGGAATGTGCCATACAGGCTGTAAGTAAGTAATTATTTTGCAGGGTTCCAAAATCTTATTTCAGTGTCACCTTCAATATCATTTGGGAATAAATTGCATTTGACAATAGAATTAAACTGAACCCCATATTAAGAATCAGGCAGACAAATCTCCAATCAGTATGATTCACGGTTCCCACCTAGGGCTCTCTGGACAGAGGTGGTGTGGGGTCTTCTTTAGCAGGCGAGCACAGTCCAATGCATTCAAGGTGCCCAATGCTTCCCTGCCCAGAAGCTGAGATTTCCAGGATCTCAAAGTCAGAGAAGCCAGAAAGAGCTGCCCTTTATTCTTCTGCAGGGGCACCAGGTTCAATAAAATGATTAACAGAGAAGGGAGGAGCTTTCAGGCGAGAGCTGCACAAGCATGGAAGCTTCCCCCACCTCTGCTCAGGATCAGATGGGTTGGCAAGGTCAGCACAGCACTGGAAAAGGGAGGCTGCTGGTAGCAATCTCCTTGCCGCTGCATCTGGAACCATTTTGGGGTACCCCCTGTGGAAGAAAAAGTGGGGTGGGGTGGAGGGAGAAGGCACCTGCCAAGGTGGGGCATCTGTGCCAGAGAAGCAGGCAGTCTCTCCCGGCCTGAGCGGTTGGGACTTGGGAAATAAGGTCAGTGGGTAAACAAATGTCAACGTTCCCTGACGCTGAAGGCTTCAGCTCTCTCTACATAGCCAGCCTCGGCCTTGCTTGCTGCTTCCCTTCAGCAAGGGTTACAGGATCTCGTATTTGTCCACGAGGAAGGTGGTCTCTGTGGAGAATCTCACAGGGCTGTTCCCATCCACTTGGGTCACTTGGGTGACCTGCAGAAAGAAAACAGTTAGTTGGGAAGGCAAGACCTGCCACCAGTCACTGTCCTTGACTTCCCCAAGTGCCAATAAAAAGGTGGAGGTTTTGGTCCCTGTGAATGACCAGGGTGGCCTGAAGAAACGAGCAGCCGCTGACAAAGAGGCTCAGGACACCATTCAGTGGAGAAGCAGCTGTTCTGCCAGTCCCATTTGGGTGGAAACAGCTCCCTTCCTTCTGCCCCGATAGGCAGCTTTCTCCAAATAGGGCATAGGAAAGGAGAAGGCAACAGTTGTCATTCAGCCCCCAGCAAGGCACACCTGAATGTTGCAGAAGTTCTTCTTAGAGACAAAGGAGACGTGCACGGGGAAGAAGTCATCTGGTTGCCCTGCGATGCTGAACTCCAGGCTGCCACTCTTGTTTTTGACATCAACCACTGGCAAGCACCACTCGAGAAGGTTTTTTCGGCTATCGTGGCGGTATTCACCATTAATCTCTCCAATTACAGGAGCCCCCACACCAGACCTAGGCAATCAACAATGAGTTAGCTCTGAACACCCCACCACCCCAGAACTGTCACTCTTGGTGGTTGGGAAGCTTCTTGGCAGGCAGGACAATTACTCACGGCAAAGGGATGGTGATTACCACGTCATTTAACTCCAGGCTATCCTCCTGCAGCTCATACTCAATGTTGACATCACAGCTGTTGCCACTTTCTGAGGGCCAGCAATTAACTAGGATCCAAAAGAAAGCCAGCTGAGATAGTTCAAGCAAGGAGACCTGAATGGAATAGGAGCAGGACACTGGCTGGCTGGCTTCCGCCTCTGGGATACCTGCTACTCCCTGAACTGAAGCAACTCACTGGTCAGTGGAATGAGAGACTCCTCCGTCGTTTGCAGCCGCCATTTCAGCACTCCCACATCACTATTGATGGGGAACGACTTATCTGGGTTCTTCAAGCCAATCACAGACTCTGACATAAAAAGCTTCTTGTCAACATTGGGGTGAGTCTGAAAAGGGAGCCGCCGGTCAGCCAAGCCACTCCACCCCAAAACAGATGTGCCCACCTCAAAATAACCCCGATCCTAACCTCCAGCCAACCTTACCTGGAGTTGCACACCTTTTTTGTCCTCATTCTCAATGTGGATACAAATCCGAGCAAACTTTTCATCCAGGATCCGCAGCATGATCATGCCATGCAGCTCCATGTTTTGAAGCCCCCCATCCCGGCCACAGGTGAGCGAGATCTTCTCTTCTATCTTCATATGCACGCTAGAAGAAGGGAGGACCCAGGGGACAGGCGTTAGAGGCCTCCTTCCTTCCAACTGGGCTTCCCAGGTATTAAGAGAGAGGCAGCCCTTCTGGAGCCCTGCCTCCTCAGGAGACCCACAAATCATCACTACGTATTACAGCCTTGACCCTTGCAAATTCACTGAAAGCCCAAACATCTCCAAACAGCACAGCTTGACTGGTTTCCTTATGGTTTACCGCTTGGGACAGTGTTGAACTAGACAAGGACTCAGCCATCAAACCATGGTTAAAAAGCTCCCTTTGGCTTAACGTAACAGTGCTCTCAGTCATAGCTTCACCTAGCTGCTGAGCTCCTGCTTGAAAGTCCACTAAAGATATTTGCTCTGCAGGAGACCAGGTTTCCTCTGGGCTTGGGTTAGAACAGAAACCTGGTTTCTGCTATGCAGGTTTGCTGTGTGCTTTTCTCTTTACCTTTCTGCATTCCTGGGTAATACACATACCTCTCCATGTTAATGGGTGGAGCAAGAACAGCTGCTGAATTTGAGGAACGCTTGCCAACAGAAGAAGCAATAATATTTTCACCTTCAGATTTTAGTTTATCCACAAAATTATCCACTTCCTTCCCTTTAGTGCCGAGCTTAAGTGCCTTGTTTGAACCAGAAGGTCTAAACAAACAAAACAAAATGCATGAGACATTTTGCCCAAAAGAACACAGCAAGATCCTTCCCTGCTTTCCTTGCTCTGCATGGCCCACTTCATTAAGAAAAAAAATGAAGATTTGTTCATGTGCCATCCAGGTTCTTCAGATGGAAGAAATCCACAAGAAAGTTCTTAGGCTTTAGCCCATCAAGGTATCTGCTACAGATCCCAACTAGGTCACCACCTCGCCCTGTTCTGACCAATGTTGCTTTTGTGTTATTTGGCATTTGAACGTTACTGTAAGTCATTCTGAATCTTTACGCAAGCAGAAAAACAAATACGTTCCCCATAAAACAATACAGATAATCCTCAACTCACAGTTCATTAGTACCGTTCAAAGTTACAATAGCACTGAAAAAAGTGACTTATATCCATTTTTCGTTGCAACATAACGAAAAATGGTCAGCTGATCAAAATTCAGAGGTCTGACAATTGACACATGATGGTCCCGGGATCATATGATCACCTTTTGTGACCTTTTGACAAGCAAAATCAATGAGGAAGCTAGATTCACTTAATAACCATGTTACTAAATTAACAACTGCAGATTCACTTAACTCTGGCAAAAAAAGTCGCAAAATGGGGCAAAACTCACAACTGTCCCAGCAACAGAAAGTTTGGGCTCAATTGTGGTCGTACGTCGAGGACTACCTGTAAATGCATAGAGACCCGTGAACCCTCCCTTGCAACCCATTTACCTTCTGCAACCAATCTTGCCCCCAAAGCAAATGACACACCTGGTTGGAGCCGTAGTTATTTTTGGCTTCTCTGACTCAATAATGGTTTCAGTGATCATAGCAGCAAGGGTGCCTCCTGATACGGCTGAATTGCCAAAGCCCCCAAATCCTGTAGCTTTGGTGCCTCGCCGCTCGGCATCCCTCCGCGCTTGTTGTAGCTCCTTGGCTTTCCGTCGCATCTCAGCCTTAGCTTCTCGTTCTTGGGTCTTGAAAAAAAGGAAGCAAAAACAAAGCAAATGGCTTTGTCTGAGAGCAGAACAGAAAAGAAGCGGGTGACCGGCCATATTCCACAGAAAGCCAGAGAACCTTTGACCTACTTCGCGAACAGCCCTGAAGACCTTCTCCTCGTGAGAATCCATCTCGGTAAAGGTCCGGATCTGGGCCAGGTTGACGTTCTCCCGGTAGCCCAGGGCGACGATCTCGTCGAAGGCAAAGATGAGGTCGAAACAGTGCTCGGAGATCTCGCTCTCCTCCAGCGCCCTGCAGTACTCGGGGATCTGCAGGGGGCGACGGGGAAGGCTCAGCGCTCGGCCCGCTCTCCTATCCTCCTGCCCGGCCAGCCGCCTCCCGCCACCGCCCAGCTCACTTACCACCCGGGAGAAGAGCCGCAGCGTCTCCAGGTCCTCCAGAATGTTGCTATTCTTGGTGGTGATGAGCACCATGTAGAGCTTCTCCAGCGGCTGGTACACGTAGCGCACGCTCTCCGTTTCCACGAACGTGTGCTGCTTCCCCGTGTTCATCAGCTTGGGGAAGGCCGCCAGCAGCCCCTCGATGCGCGTCCGCGTCATCTCCACGAACTGGCGCGACACGATCGCCTTCCCCGCTTTCGTGCAGACCGCGGCGGCCAGGAGGACCTGCGGAGGAGAGAAGGCCCACGCTCGCAAGGCGGCTCCGGAGGCCGGCCCAGCGCGGGGAGAGCGCCGGCTCGCAACCGCCTCTCTGGGCCGGCCCCGCCGGCTTCCGGCCGTAGGCCCGAGGCTTGTTCAGGCCAAGTCTCACCATGGCGGCGGCGGCGGCGGCGGCAGCGGCGGCCTCCGCGGGGTTGCTGCTGCTGCTGCTGCTGCTGCTGCTGGGCGCCGCGTCCCCGCTGCTTCCGAGTCCCGCACAAGATGGCGGCGAGCCACGTCTCTCAGGCGGAAGCGGCGTCACCACGCAGGCGCAGTCGGCCCGAGTGTGTGTGTGTGTGTGGGGGGGGGGGGGAAAAATGCAGCCGGTTCTCGCGAGAAGGTTCCGGCCTCCCGTTGCCTGGCGACGGACCCGCTGCGGCCCCAACTCCCGCGGCCCCCGACGCAGCATGAGCGGAGTGCCGCCGGCGCCGCCCGAGCCAGGGCTGCAGGTGTGGGGCAGGGCCGGGGGCGCAGCCGAGGTCTGGGCGCTGGCGAGCCGCCCTCCCTCGCCCTTCTCTCGCTTTTAGACGCGGCTCGTGGAGAACCAGCCCTACGACGAGAGCCTGGACGTGAATGAGACGGATGAGGTCGCCAGCATCTACGCGCCCAGCCCGCCGCAGCCCGGTGGGTGCCCGGGGGAGGCGGGCACGAGGGAGCCGCGCGACACCGCCCCCTCCCCCCGTGACACCGCCGTTCCCGCCCGCAGGCCCGCGCCCCGCGCGCCCGCCGTGCAGGGATAGCAGCGACGAGGACGAGGATGGCGGCGCGGCAGCCCTGAAGGGAGGGAACACCCCGCCGCGCGCGCCCGGCTGGGCCCCCGTCGCCGCCCCCGACCGGCCCGCGGGCGCCCTGTTGCAGCCTGAGAAGAAGGGCGGCGGGGGCGGCGGCGCGCTGGGCTCAGGCCGGCGCTTTAGCGGCCACGAGGTGGAGGACGATGACGAGGACTCCTCGGAGACCGACTCGGACGACGACGACGACGACGAGGATGACGAGCACGGCGCCCCGCTGGAGGGGTAGCGCGAGGGGGCGCGGGGGAGGGCGCTGGCGCGGGGGGGGGGCGGCCGGGGCTCAGCCGCGCTGTCTCCTCCCTCTCTCCGCAGGGCTTACAACTCGGCCGACTACGACTACCTGCCCGTCTCCCTGGAGGTGAAAGAACTGTTTCAGTACATCCGGAGGTGAGGGGGGGGGGGCTGGTGGAGGGGCGAGGAGGGGCACCTGGCGCTGCGCTGAGCGGCTCCCTCCTCCCCCCTCAGGTATTCCTCCCAAATGATCGACCTGGAGCACAAGCTGAAGCCTTTCATCCCGGACTTCATTCCTGCCGTGGGAGACATCGATGCCTTCCTGAAGGTGCCCAGAAGCCTGGGTCCTGGGGGGAGCGTTTGTCCCAGGAGCTCTTGCTGCTGGCCTGTGGAAGATGTTGGAGAGTTGAGGCCCAGAGCCTTGGCCAGTGGCCCTCAAGGACTTGCTCTGTCCCTTGGGAGGTTTGAAAATATGTTGCTGTGGCTCATTTTTTGCAGGTTCCACGCCCAGATGGGAAGATGGATAATTTGGGCTTGTTAGTGCTGGATGAGCCATCCACCAAACAGTCGGATCCCACCGTACTTTCCTTGTGGCTCACCGAGAACTCCAAGCAGCATAATGTAGCCGTAAGTGGAGGAGGAAGGAAACGGGCAGGAAGCCATCCCCACAGGTCCAGTCCACTGATGAGGTCGGCTTGCCTTTCTAGCAGCAGGTGAAAGTAAAGAGCCTTGAGAACGCGGAGAAGAACCCTAAAGCCGTGGAGAGCTGGATTGAGAGCATCAGTGAACTCCACCGCTGCAAGCCTCCGGCCACTGTCCATTATGCTAGGTCTGCCTCGATGTTCCCCGAGGAGCCCTTGATGCTTCTTGCCTTTTTCCTCTTTACAACGGGGAAGTGCTCCCATAGGGCCTCCTGGTGGCTGGCTCTCAGGGCTGCTTGTCCTTTGCAGGCCAATGCCCGATATAGATACGCTGATGCAGGAATGGACTCCAGAGTTTGAAGAGTTGCTGGGAAAGGTATAGTGACCTCCCCAATGGGTAAGTTCTGCCCCATACCCTATAACTGGTTTCTTTGAGGGTTTCCAGCAGGATCATGAGAGCTGCTTCATGCAGAAAGTGCAGTCAGCCTTAAGCTTTCCTCTCTGGCCCCCAGGTGAGCCTCCCAACTGCTGAGGTTGACTGCAGCTTAGCTGAATACACAGACATCATCTGTGGTGAGTGCCCTGACCTCGTGCCGAGCCTGGGGATGTTTGCTGAAGGCCTGGCTCGTTGACTCTGGACTGAGCCAAAATAGCTCTGGAACCAAACATCTCATAGATCGTCCAGCACCTGGCAGAGTTCTCAGGGTTCCACTTAATGAAGTTGGACCTGGAGCTTCTGGCTTAAATGCTTCTCTTGGGGTTTTTTCTCCAGCCATTCTAGACATTCCTGTCTACAAGGGTCACATCCAGCCTCTGCACACCCTATTCTCACTCTACTCCGAATTCAAAAATTCACAGGTAAGCAAGAGAGTTGCTACTATTGCTACCCACAAGAAGGGGGCCTGCTGGAACAGGTCTTCTCTACCTGCTTTCACCAGGAGACTCTAGAAGGAACGGTCTCCACAGGAAGCCTGAAATGAGATTCACTTCATTGGTGGTTTCTGCTTTTTTGCAGCATTTCAAGGCTCTGGCTGAGGGCAAGAAGGTTGTCAGCCCCCCCTCCAATCCACCCTCACAGACTGGAGAGATAGATATTTTAAGTTTCACCTGAGAGCAGAGGTCACAGTTTCCTGCCTCCCGACGTTTAAATAAAGGTGCTGCTGACCTCAGGGTTATTTAAGAGAGGTTTCCGGAACCCATTCCCTTGGATAATTCAGTGTGATATTTGTGTAATAAAGTTTTGCTGTAAGTGTTGCTCTGCCTCTCAAGGAGAGATGGTATGCAAGCCGAGAGTTTGAGGAATGTGGGACTTTGTGTCTTGTTGCTGGGCCATGCAGGTTGGGGCCCTTGGGAGGAGAGCAAAGCTATTGTAAGGCTGCCTATGAAACAGGTCCAGCAGCCTGCTCTGCCTTTTAACTGCAACACATGCCAGCACTTTATGTACGTGCCTGGGTTTATTGGGCTTCTTTTACATCCCGGGGACTGAGTGATTGAGAGTCCTTTTCATAGCAGCCTCGCAGGCAAATCCAGGCAGGGGGAAGGAAAGGGCAACACCTTAACCACAGTCATTTATTCTTTAAGCATAGAAGTTGCAAAGCTGCAATCCTGGGCTGAGATGTGCATGGCGATAGCTTTCCCGGTCTGCGGATGGCAAAGGCCAGGTTAGGAAGACAGTCTTCAGGTTGGACGGAGAAGCAGGGCAGCTGCTGGATGCCTGTTTTGCTGGAAACGAGTAAAGAGTGAAAAGGACCCACCCTGTACAGTTCAACCTGTTGTCCAGGACCAAACCCTGCCAGGGGCTCCTTTGCCCCTGGAGGTGCCCTCACCGTCCTGTTCCAGGGTTAAGAGCAGAGGTACTCCTGGCCCCCTTTGCCCACCCTCCTTGTACCTCTCTTGCTGTGCTGGGGATGGACACGGTGACAGACTTCACAGCCAGATTTCATCGCTACTCATACTAGTGGCTCTATAAATATATCCAACGGTAAGAAATTGGCCCAAACCTGCAGAAGCAGAAAAAGAGGATATGGAATTTGGTCCACAGCAGTTACTTTTGCAGGATTTTTGAAACACTTAGGTTTCTTTGAAAACTATCCATGAGCATGTAGGATCATCCAACAGAGATGACTTACTTCTAAGTTCTAAGCAGATTCAGCTGCAATAAGGAAACAGGCAGGCATCAGTGGGTGCCTTTCCCATAGCACCAATGGCAGCTTACTTCCCCTGGTAGCATGCCTGAAATGCTGGATGGCAGAAAGGGGGCTCTTGCTCTGCAGGACTGCATTTTGCCAAAGAATTCAGGGTTGCTGATTAAAATGAAGGTGGGCTTTTCTTCTGAAAGAGCCTCCCACTAGTAAAACTGTGAAAGAGTCCTCAAATGCTACTTAGGACAGACATTCTTCTGGCTCATCTGACATTTCCCTGGGGTGGTGAGTGCACAGCAGTCTTCTCCAGCACCAGGTGGAGCTGGTCAGAACTGTCTCTTGAAAAGGGAATGTTTCCAATATCTCACAGCTTTTCCTGCTACAGAATTAGCTGTATTAAACTGGTATATCACTGAATGCTAGCATTTACTATGTTTCAGAATTAAATCTAGAGGGGCTTGACCAAATGAATGTAACTCCTTCCCCACCCCCACCCTACATGGCAGAAGGTCCCGTTACCTTGTTCAGCAAGGACCGGGTGATTGTTTGGGTCCGAAATAGCATCTTCATCTTGTTCTGCAGGAGCACTATTCGCTCTACCTTTGAAGTAGTGGGAAAGAGGGCTGGAGCAGTGACTCATGCCTTGACATGCCCCCCCTCTTTCCCAGCTCCCCCCCCCAAGATTCTCACCGCTCACTTTTTGGTTCTGGTACAAGATCGTTGAGTTTCAGGTCCGAAGGGAGAGACCTGTTTGCCCGTGTCATATGGGCTTCCTTCGGCTGAAGGACATTGCTGTGGGAAATGCAAAGCAATTCGCTCTTGGATCCTCCCAGCTCCCCTCCCCCATACACACTTCAAGGCAAGGCCACGGATTCTTGGGATGTTACTTCTTTCTCTGGCCCTCAGAGAAAGCTGACCAGAGCTTCGTTCTCTGGGGAGGTGCTTATGCCACCTGCCAGTGAGTCTGTATAAAGTATTTCCAAAAGAGGCTACAGAGCAAACAAGGGGCTTTTATCCCCTCTCTAGCAGTCCCAGAAGGTTACCTCAGAGGAAGCTGCACTGCTAGGCCATGTCCTAAAAAAGAAGAGAAAGGAAGGTGACCCCCAGCAAGGAGACAGGCCCAGCCCAGGCTGAAAAGGCTTCTCTTGCACCTACCTGCTGACTTTTTGGGCTTCAGTTGGGAAACAGCCCAACTGATTAGCACCCCAAAACTCAGCAGTATCACCAGAGCCACAGTAGCTGCCCCCACAAGGGCCACCAGAGGCAGTTCAAGCTGGGTGGCCAGGAAATCTAGAGAAGCCGGAGATGCTCGCGTCAGCGCCGTGGCTTCACCCTGCTCTCTACTGTGTTCAAATGTGGCCCTCCTCTTGCTGGCTTTCCCTCGCCCAGTTTTGCTCTGCAGGAAGGCTACCCTGTGTCTGGGAAGTAGCCTCAAAGGAATTTTGCCAGGGCAATGCAAGCAGCTGAATGTCTGCCTCCTACAGGCCAAGAACAGGGAAGGCAGCCTGGGGTCGCAGAGGGCTGCTTCCAATTGTTGGGACGCAGATGGGCCCTGGGTTGGCAAGGAGACAGGCTCCCCTGGGGCTGTTTGATGGAAGGCTTGGACCTGGCATCCATGAAGAGGAGAGGAGAAGGGAGGCCTTGTGCCAGCCAGTCCTTGCTTGGCGGAGGCTGCGGACCTGCCCCAATCCCTGGTCCAGGCCTGTGAGCCCCGGCCCAGGCCCTGCCCCCGCACCCCTACCTACCGGGGAGCGGAACGGAGGAGCTGGCGACACCCAGACCGTTGGAGGCGCGGAGGGAGGCGTTCCGGGGCGGGCTGTGCAGCTGCACTCTCACGGTGTGGTTGGCGAGCCAGGGATAGGTCTGGGTGTCGAGCAGCAGGAAGCGGGAGGCGTTGACCGTCACCTGCCCGTCCTGGTCCACCCAGGTCACGTCGGCCGGCGGGTTGGCTTGGACCAGCACGAAGAGCACCAGCAGGAGGCCGGGCTCGCTCGCCTCGCGGTAATGAGCGTCCACCTTCACGATTTCGGGCTGAACTGCACTCGTACAGAGGGCGGCGCCGGTCAGCCTCTATCCCGCTTCTCCCCTCCGGAGCCCCCTGCGCCCCCCCAGCCGCCCGCCCCTCCGCCCGCCGCGCTCACACTGCACGTTGAGGAGGACCGAGGCGGTGGAGACGCGCCCCGGGGCCGGGTCGGTGGCGTCGCAGTCCAGCCGGTGGTCCACGCGCCGCGCCGTGACCACGAAAGTGCCGCTGCCGCCCTCCCCCAAGCCGTCGCCGGCCGCGGCCAGGCCCCCCCCGGATGAGTTCGTCTCCTGCCGCTCTCCGTTGAGGTACCAGGTGAGGTTGGGGGCCGCCGCCAGGCAGGTGAAGGCGCGGCTCTCGGCCTCCCGCAAGCTGCTCACCGACAGGGCCCGCCCGTCGATCCTGGTCTCCGACGTCGCCACCGCACCTGCGGCGGAGCGGAGGTTACCGGCCGGAGGGAACCGTAGTCCGCGGGAGAAAAGTGCGTCGCCCGCCGCCCTACCTGGTGTGGCGCGCCGCAGCAGGAACGGCAGCAGCAGCAGCAACCGCGCGGGCGAGGAGCTCCCGGGCACCGAGTCGCTTCTCCGGCGCCGGCGGGGGGACAGGAAGGGGCGCCCCGGGCAGAGCAGCCAGGCTTCGGGGGGCGGCGCGCCTCTCACTGCGGGACCCGGAGCCGCGTCCATCCTGGGCTGCGAGGCGGGAGGGGCTCCCGGAGCACCACAGGCCGCTCACCTTCAGCATGCGGCAGCAGCGTTTTCAGCCGACCGGCACGTTAGAAATCCCGGCCTGGATTTCTCGGTCCGAATACTCGCGATCCTGTCCGAATACCGCCGCCACCCGCCTTGGGCATCGAGTTTCCGGCCGGGCGGCGGCGACCTGAAAAAGCGCTGCCTAGCGGGCCCCTCTCCTCTCCCTCCCTCCGCAGGGGGCTGCTGGCTGGGGACCCGGGCGACAAAAGCAGGTCTTGGTTGGTAGTCTCAAGCCGTGGGCTTTATTCAGCTGCCCCATCGCCCCCCCCTTCCCTCCCCGTCGCAGCCAGGCTCAGCAGGTCTCCTTCTCCCCCCTTCCTCATTAGTTCCAGCAACATCTGGTTGCAGAGGGCTGCGTAAGGGTTCATCAGTGCCAGCTGCCGGCGGGCAAAGACGCTGCCCAGGGCGGCCCCCTGTTCAAAGCTTCGCCGGGCCGCTTCCTCCTGGTCTTGCAACCGCTGGATCAGCCCGCGTTGGACAAAGCCTTGGCGGGCCACCGGGCCGGCCCCTTTGCTGAGCTTCAGTGCTGCCTCCAAGTCTTCCAGCGCCTCTGATGGGATGGAAAAAGAATGCGTGGCCGAGTTAATTAAATAAACGTTGGGTCAGTGCCTTATACAAATAGGAAACCTGATCCCTTCGTGGCAGAGGTGGGGCTGCCCTATAGACCCTTGTCCCATTCCCAGAAGCTTGGGCTGGAGGGAGGGATGGGCCGGGCCAGAGTCCATTCTTGAAAGGCACATGCGATGGTTGGCCTCATTCTGCTTTTCTGTTCTAGATTCTCATTAAGTTTTGGTTCCTTTCTTTTTGACCTAATTGTGAATCATATTGTGAGTTGGGTAGCCATACAAATCAGATAAACGAGATACAGGGATCTGAAAAGGAACAGGATCAAACAGGGAGAGTGGAACCCTAGTTCAGGAGACTACTGTCCAGCATCCCAGTCACCCGCTGTGTTTGTATGACCTGTTATCCCAATGGATGGGAACCTCTCTGGCGAGATTTTCTAGAGCAGCTGCTGGCAGTTTTGCTAATAGATCCAACAAAAATCCAAAAATGCTGTGCTTAAGATGAAGTGATCCAAGCAGATTTAAAGCGATAGTCTTGCTTTGTACTCTCAGACCGAAGCAGGTGCCCTGCTTTAGTGCCCTGAGCAACTGAGATTCCTATTCCAGGCCAAGTGCAGCCATGGTCACCAGTGGAGGGGGAGGATGGATGAAGCCCGGAGCACACTTACTTGCGACATCCCCTTGGAGCCGAAGAGCTTGTGCACGGTTGTTGAAGGCTGAGGCTCGCTCTGGAAGCAGCTGGATGGCTTGGTTAAACTTTTCCAGGGCTAGCTCCAGGTCGCCTTCTTCAGCTGCTGCAATTCCCTGGGCCTCCAGGTAAGTGGTTTGCCTCAGCAGCTCAGGATCAAAGTCGCCTTCTGTCACCAGCGTGAGAAGCAGTAAGGAAAAAGGGAGCTCGCTCTGGCAACTAATAATTTCCTTGAGAGCCAACTGGTAGCCAGATTCCAATGCCATTCCAGGGACGATGGGTCCCAAGCCTAAGCTTTGGAAGAGGCAGTTGTAACAGCCAAGCCTTCCCCCACCCTTGTCTTTTGAAAGACGGACTGCCCTTCCGTGGGAAGGAAGCAACTGGTTAAGCATTGAGCCTTATAGCCTTGCTGCTTTTTGAAGCATGAACAAAGGTAGCCTACCAACCTTCTCCCAATCCGAGTTTTGGAGAGCGATGGGCAAAATCTCTCCAGCCCACCATCCCTTTCAGGTGTCTGACTTGAAAATGATTTGTGAGAAATAGATTGAAGAATCTGTTGAGAGCCCAGAGATCAGAGGCATCTCCTTGCTTCCGAGAGCTTGCAAAGAAAGAAGCCTCTGAAGTTTATGAAAAACCATCTCCCCCCTTCCCCTCCCCAAAAGTGAGTCATCACCTTGGATTAGTTGTTGCTTCTCCTGCTCCTCCTGCCAATCTTCATCAAAGGGAACATTTGGGTGGAAAATAGTTTGCAAAACTGCCTGATCATTGATGGTGGCCATGTTGAAGCCCTGGTGAGTTCTGTGGGAGAATTGGGCCCCTTCAAAGAGATCTTGAAAGCTCTGGCTGGGGAGGAAGGGGCCGGTCTAGCAGCAGCCAATGGCCATGAGGGAGGAGCTGGGCTGTGCCTGCCAGCCTCCTACAGTGCAGAAGGCAGTGAAGGGCAACTGTTGGGGGTGATCAGGGAGCTGACGTTGGGGTCCTGGGCCCTTTTCCTGAGCATATTTGCAGAGATGAAATGGGGGAGCCCAGAAAGAGCAGGACTGAGGCTGCAGAGGAGAGGAACAGGGTGGAGACAGGACTCCACGTCAGCTCATCTCAGAGAAACCTGCTGAACAGGAAGTGTCAGGCTAGTAGATGAACGATCTGACTTTGGAGGAAGGGGCTTCCTGGTACCGGAATTAAATCATCATCTCCCTTGTGGAAAGCAAAAGGAGCTGCTGCGTTGGAGTCAGCATCCGTTTCCCTGTCCTTTGAGAGCCTTTGTGTCTGACAAGCCAACTCAAATGGGGGCAGGTTTAACATGGAGATCGATTCAGCAGAGCTTTTTCTTGGGCATCCTGTGAAAAAATGCCATTGAGAAAAATGGATCAAAAATGGGAACGCTTCCAGCAGAGGCTGGACTGAGTCATTCTTGATCTCAGGTGTCAGGATTATGGAGGAAAGCAGCTGCTGGGGACTTTCACCTTGTTCTCCTTCAAAGAGCTCTGGGGCTGGGCGGGGGGAGGTTTGCGCATTCACTTGTTTTGGGCATGCAGTATTTAGAGACCCAAGGACCTGACCAGCAAAGATACTGGGATACAGGACTCTGAGGTGAACAGCTGCCTCACGTGTGGGGAACAAGGCCTTTCTATGATGCAGGTAAGAAGAATGCACTGGCCTGGGAAAAATCTCAGCCCCAATTATAACTCCATCCTTTGAAGCAATAAACTTGACATGTTTATTAATTAAACTATCACTTAAATAAAAAAGTGCATAGAAAATAAACATGTTTAAAAACTCCTTTTTTTGTACAACTATATACACTTATTTTTACATTCAGTCTTTCAGTCATTTCTTAAAACTATTGAAAGTATTTCCTTCATCCCTGTAACAATGACAGGATTAACACTGATGCAGCACAAGCAACACATTTCCTCCTTTTAAAGAAAAAAAACAACAACTAATTTTGGAAGAACACAAGAAAAAAAGATAAATTGGTTTTACATGATAAGTTGCTTTTTGTATGGATCAGAGCCCTGTTTATGTAGCTTTTGCAAAGTGGCTTGAGACATTTATTCACTACCTGTAGCTATTGCGGACGCTGAATCTAAGAAACACCACGGGCACAGATCTTGGCGAGAAGGCAAAGCTGCAAGACCTTGTTAAAAGAGACCAGAAAGCGCACAACGCTGTTGAGGAGCTCCACCAACTGGAATCCAAAAAGAGGTGGAGGAGAGAAGCAAGTTGTACAAGGGTTGACTATTGAACACAGAAGGTCAGGAGCATCCACAGCCAAGTCTCCAGCCTTACTTCTGGGAGATCCGCTTACAGGCCAGCTCAGCCTAAACCCGCCCCCCCCCCCAGTCTGCAATGGGACCCAGGTCCAGTGGAGGAAGCATCCACTGCCCATGGAGCCCTTGGCATGTTGTTTTTCCTGCCTTTTCAGCAACTGGAACACAACCATTATCTAAAGGGTTAAAGATAGTTCAAAGCCAGGCTTCAAGACACAATGCAGCATGGTATTAGTTCTATAGATACCTTATTTATAGTCATAAAAAGTTGCAGGCATGGGGTGGGGGGGGAGAGCGGGGGATGAGCCAGCCAACCTGGCCAAATGACATGATTCTGCACACAAGATGAATTTGACTGAAAACCCGGTATTGCTTCACAACAAAGAAGATTCTTGCCCAGCCCTTTGCAGTGACCCGCTTTTCCTTTAAAAAAAAAAACCTTTAAAGGGTAGACTGACTTAGTATTCTTCCATTTCACGATCTGTCAGTTCTTAGAAAGATACATTCATATTTCTAGGAAGCTGCCCAGCCCAGCTTCCTTTTGCTCCCTTCTCTCTGCTGCTCCGGAGAGGTGACCTCTCCCCAGCCTCTCCCTCAGGTGCAGCAGCAGCAGCAGCAGCATTCTGGGGTTCAGAGCAGCCCAAAGCAGCTCTGCTGCTGCTCAGGACAGTCAGATTAGTAACAGCAGGAGATGCCACCTTGCCTGAGCCGAAATTCAGAGCCTGCTCAGAGCATCCTTCAATGAAAAGGGAGGCCTCTTCTAGCAGCCACGGTGCAGCCCAGCAGCCAAGACGGAAAGAGCAGCTTTAGGCAGCAACTGCCTCCTCCTTTTAACCCCACCTGGCTCGTGCCTCTTTCTCCCAAACTGCCTCATGGGTAGGAAGGTCTTGCCGGCTTGGGACAGCAAAGGTGACGGTTAGGCACACCAACTTCTCCTTCCAGGAGAGTGGTGGGTGGGTTCCTGGTAGCAGAAGCCAGGGCTTTGCTCCAATTGGCTTAGCCAGAGCAGGCCATGATTCTGCTACCTTTTAGGAGATATGCATAGCTTATCTGGCTTCTCTCCAGAGTAAGATGGACCAGGGCAAAGCCTGGTGAGAAACTGGATGTTTACTCCTCTGCCCTGAACTGAGGCAGGAGAGGAAGGGGAGGTTAGAGAGAATCCCACCGGTTTGGCTGACATCCAGGCAGAGTCAAGGATTTGACTGCTGGAGAATGAAAGGCCCACCAAACCCCAAATGGTTCTATCCTCTCCTGAAAATGGGAGAACTCTTCCTCCCTTCAAACTTAAGGGGCAGCCAAAGCAGCACCCAGAATCTCCTTTCCCTCCCGAGGGGAGAATCAGGATGTGCCTGACCCAACCTTGGAAAGATCATCCTATTAAAATAAAACATTCACCCTTAAAATGCATTCTTTTTTAAGTCAAGATGCAACCATGACTGAAAAAATAGTCTCCTAAGTGCTCTTTCCTATGAAGTGCTGCTCATAGAAAAATATACAAAATATATTTACATTTATAAAACTTTTAAATACTAAAATGTAAACAGAACCAAGGAAAATCCAAAGACTTAATTCGAGATGGTGCAACTGAAGGAGGCTGAGGGCCGTTTCTAGAGGCATGAAAAGGGAATGGATTTCATGAAGTCCAGAATTCCTCATCTCCTTTGCAAATGCAGCTCCTGGCAGGTTGACCAGCACTCTTCCTTCTCAGGAAACAAGCTGCACTTGGGGTGCTCCAATTCCACTCCGGGGACCACTACATTTGTGACACAGGGCCGGGATCAGTTGTAAGCGTTCAGCACGAGAGATGGTTCTCTGAGACAGAAATTCCCCCTCTAAGGGCCTGCCTGTCCACCTGAAAGCTCATCCAAAGAACTAGAACTGCCCAAACTGCTACCTTGGGATTCCTCCCTAGTGGCCACAGGCATCTTGGAGAACCACCACTCAGTTGCCAGCCCAAGCTGGAACACAAGGGTAGGTCTCACAGTCCACACTTGAGGAGGCAACCAGGTGCCCGTGCTGGCTTGACACAGCCTTGGTTGCTGCAGCCCACATTCCCATTTTCCTAATCCTACAGCACACCAAAGTGCGTCTCGCTCTGAGCAGGCCCTGCCCCGCCAGAGCAAGCCAGCGCATCTGTGGCTGTGGAGGGCCCCAGCACCCGGCTCTCCTCCGGCCTTGGCTGTGGTCAGCTCAGCTGCTCAGTTGAGGAACCGCCGGCATTTCTTGGCACCGCAATTGCAGAGCAGCTTGTTGCTGGCATCTTCAATGGGAAACTTGTAGTCGTAAGTGAGCTCTTCACCACGGTAGATCTTGCGCATGGCAAAGATGACAATGTGCTTCTGCCCGTCGATGTGAATGACTCGGGAGTAGCAGTTGGGCTCACAGGAGTGGTTGATAAAGCGCGCTGCGTTCCCATGCATGGTGGCGTCCACAACTTCCGAGTCGTCAATACGGAACATATAACAGCCGATGCCCTGGGAGACAGAGAGCGTGGATGGCGGAGAAATCTCCAAAGGCAGATCTCCCGGCCATCTGCCTGACCAAATGGGGCAGTCCTGCCCAAGCCAGTTCACCTCACCACTCCACAGCCTACAGATCTGGGCAACTGCTGGCCACTCACTCACCTTACTGTCATAATATTTCTCACGTTTGTCAGTTAATATGGAGCGAATCACATTGCCAGCATATTCAATCACCATCTCCCCTGCATCTATGTTCCTTTTGCAGAACAGACCCCGTCCATGGATAGGAGACCTGACAGGATGGCAGAGGACACAAAGCTGACAAGCCTCGCACTGTTCCTGGGGGCATCTGGCAAGTGACCTGCCTTCAAACATCTCCAAGGTCAAAAATATCATGAGGTCTCCCTGGGCTGATTCCTGAGGTCAGCTGGCCCAGGTTTCTTCTCCTCCCTCTTTTCTGTCAGAACTCTCACTTACCTGTAAACCCCAACTGCCTCCTTGGAGGTCTTCCTCAAGTGTCGGAAGCGCATGGGCATCGGAAGATCCATGCTGGTTGCCCTCCTGAAGACAGACGAGGAAGAGTCTACTTGAGGGTTACGTCTGACATAAGCACTGACTTCATCAACCTGAATGCCTGATGCAGGCCCCAAACTCCTACTTGAAGTGTGACAGGACCCTGGTCCCTTGACAAATTTTCTACCATCCATGGTGGCTGACAGCTCAGGTGCAGGAATACAAGCCCCCCCCCCCAATCTACAATGAGTTACAAAAAAAAACCCTCAGCCGGATAGCTTTCCCCTCTCGCTATGTACCGGGCAGATTTCAGCTGCACTTCCTCTTCCTCCTCCTCGTTGGGATTGTACTGTGGGGGCTGGCGATGTTTAGAAGCCAGAAAGTTGAACATGTCAAGACCAGACTTCCTGAAGTGCAAAAGAGAAGCATTATGCTTTACACTGACTGCCACAGCAGCAGGCTTCCAGAAATTCTCCAGCTCAGACAAGCAGCAGCAAGGGAGGGCTGGCCTGGCTAAAACACCTTATGGCTCACCACTTTGCTTCTGGCCTCAAAGAACTGATCTCCCTTCCCCCCATCCCTTGCGCTTCTTGTCTTTTAGATTGCCTGTCTTTCTCCTTTAACTGCTGTGAGCCAATGTGGAAGAGTGTAATTGTCTGAAAAATGGGATAAAATACAACACATGAAGAACTCTTAAACAAAAAGAGGAAAGCAGGGAACAATGCTTTTGGTGAGAAGCATGCCGTGTCAACCCCAAATTTTTGAGAGGGCATTATTTTATTCTTCCCCCTCTTGCCGTGAGGGCCTAAGACTTCTCATTCAACAGTATTTCAGCAGCAGCAGCAATAGCTTGGGAAGAAAAGGGGAAAGAACAGGACTCCACTTGCCTGAGGTGCCCTTCAGCCCTGGCAGAGCCGTGGGGGTTCACGGGAGGCTCCTTGGCCTCCTCTGGTTTGTGGAACCTGAACTTGTAGTTGGAGCAATGCTTGGCTCCACAGAGTTGCTCTATCAGGAACACGACAGCATGGTGGAGAATGCCCAGCATTTGCAGCCCACTCACACCTGGAAGAGGGAGAGGCGGGAAGAGCAGCTGTGGCCCCAACTGAACAGGGCAAGGTGGATCAGGCTAAGCCCAGCTTCGGAGCAAAGACCGAAGGGCTGGAGGGGCTGCCTGGCCTTGGAACCCAACCACTCCTGAAACAGTAGTAGCTCAAGGTAACCTTTTCTGCCCAGTGAGAAGGGCCTCAGTCAGCCCAGCACCCAGCCTTGACTCCATGCTCGGCTCCCACCCTCACCACTCAAGCCATTTTGGGAACAGTGCAAGGGCTGTTCTGAACGGGAACTGTATGGCGAGTGCAGCAAACTGAGCATTTTGCTTCTTTTCCTTGCCCTCTAGGTTTTCCCTCCAACTGCTGGTACCTGCGAAGGAAAGCTGTTTCAGGCGGGCATTTGACCGAGCTTCTTGAACTTTGTCTGTCAAGGATTTCCAGGCTTCTAAGGTTAAGAGAACAACCAAGGATTTAACAGAGAAGGAACCATACATCCAACAGTGTTGCATAACCCTTTTGATGCAAGGCTCCGGTGCAGCGGGCTGTCTCCTGGGCCTACCTTCAATACTTTCTGCACAGATCTGGAAGCCATCATCACTGGAGATTTCAAAAATCAGTCCTTTCTTGGGCCTCTTCTCTGGAAGGTTTTCTTTCCGTGTTCGCTCCTGTTGCAGCCAGAACATGAGGGGGGAGCTAAAGCTGCTTTCTTCCTCCTCCTCCTCCTCCTCCTCCTCCTCCTCCTCCTCCTCCTCTTCTTCCTCAGCACTGGAATCTGGAGGAAAAAAAGAACCCTGATAACCTCTCAGTCACACAAATCACAACAGACCAAACAGGAAATGTTCTAAGAAAAGTTCCCAGAAATTTAACAGCAGTAAAGCAGGACTGTTATGTACAGACCTCTACGTCCTGCAGGTCTCAGTCAGGGCAGAGGGAGGCCTGTCTTCACATACCTGCATGTTCTAACTCGTTTGAAGTGGACGGCGTTGGCTGCAGTTGTGGGTGAGGCTGTAAATGCCTGTGGAGGAGAGGAGGGTTGGAAAAGGCTGAGAGACCCATTTCAGCTGGGGCCTTGCAGGCCTTCAGTATAACTGAGGTGCCTGCCACCATCTCCGATTAGGTTAATAGTTTGACAGGCACATGCCAAGTTTTGTAAAGTTTTCTGGCAGGTGCCTATGTTTGGTGGGAGAACAGATTTGCAGCAGAAGACCTTTGGCTGCAATGGTCATCCACTCTTCTGATGCCTCAAGCATCGTCAATTCTACGGTGCTGAACAGTCAGCAAATATGGACATTTCTAAAATAAGGACTGGCGCTGTTTCCTTGGATGTTTTGAATTCCCCAATGGCATTTTTGGCATGGTCAGAGGCACCAAATCTAAGAATGACTCTTGTCTAGAAAGCCGGTGGGTGTGAGCATGGCCTTGGCACTTCTTCCCCCCTCCTCCCTTAGCCCCAAGGGATCCGCTTACCCTGCTGATTTGTGGGCTGGCTGCAGTATGTCTGTTGCCTCCTCTGGTTGCACCCTCAAGGGCTGGGACCTAGAAGACGGGCAGGCAAAACATAGCTTGGAAGTTGGGCGTATCACAAATCCAGTGACATGGTCACTGAACTATGAGACGCACATGACGCTGACTAGCTCGGGGAGAGGCTAGTTCCTAGAGCAAACACTGGCGAAAGCAACGTGGGAGGGTTTGCCGTCCCCCCTTGGGCTCCCTGTGCTTTTAGAACCATGCAGGTGTTCTGAACCAGCCAGTGGCCCCCCTCCCCATCCTGTTGATCTGGGACCAGGGCAGGGGAACTCGCCTCTCAGCAAGCAAGTACCATAGAAGCGCTAAGGGGCTTTGTTGGAAAGGGGGGGGGGAGTTAAGAGCCGCAGCTCTCTCTCTCACCCTCTGCCTGGGTCCTGGGCTGCCATCCTCCTGCCTTGTGGTGGAGCGCACTGGCCAGGGAAACTGTTCCAGAATGGAGGCACCCTGGGTTTCTTCCCGGATCCTTTGCTGCCCAAAGGGGTCGGCAAGCGCTTGACTTTGGCCCTGGTGGAGCCCAGCACAGTGGAAGGGGAGCTCCCAGGAGAGGCTGCGGGGACACAGGGGGCCGGTCTGCTTCGCCCCACGGCTACCGTATCCATCAGCTGGGGAAAGTCTGAAAGAGGAGTTGCCTGTGAAGGAGGGAGGTCCAGGTGAGGTGGGGCTGGCCCAGCTTTGCACGCCAAAAGCTGTGTGAGAGGCTCAGCCTGGTAGGAGCTTCCAGGATCAGCAGACATGCCCACGGTCTTCAAGGAAGGCAAGACAGAGATGCCGGTTGCTAAAGCAGTTGTTGCCAACCCCGCAGAAGCAGACTGGGCCAACGAGACCTCCTTATGCGACGGGAACATACTGGAAGCCACTGGCGGCACGGAAGCAGGCTGCTCCGTGAGGCTCAGCTCCTGTCGAGTGGCTTTGATTAATAGGCTGCTGAGGGAGCTCATATCCGAAATGCCTGGCACATCAGAGCCCCCTTGTCCCAATAGATGGGGTGGGATCGTTGGGCCCGGGGACGGCAGGGGGGCCACATTCAGCTCAGATGGAGGGGAGGCGAGGTGGCCAGATTTTGGCCCAGTTATGCTGGGAGACGCTCCAAGGGCTGCCTCTGCTACAGCTATCCCCCCTTCTTGGGGCAATAGAGGTGCCTGCTCAAAGTACATGAGCCCTGGCTTGGAGCGCTTGATCATCCTGGGCGCAGTTCGCGGGCACGTAGCTCCCAGATCAAGCAGGCCAGGTGGGGAGGAGCGATGAAAGTTCATGGAGGCCAGGTCAGAAGGAGCAGCGGCAGAAGGAGTTAGCTTCTTGGCCCTCCGGGAGTGCAGGCGTGCAACGGACCGCTTCTTGCCGAGGCCAGTGGGAGGGGGGGTGAGTGCAGGCCCAATATCTGCCCTCGGACTCACCTCGGGGTCAGGTGGCTGCTGGACCCCAATCAGAAGGCCCGAGGCAGAGCTGCCAAGGGTTGCCGGGAAGCTGCTGCCGCCACTGCCGGAGGAGCTGGCCGAAAAGGAATGTAAGTGCTGCTGCTGATGGGGCATGTTCAGCAAGCCTTTGCTGGCTGCAGGAAAGAGAGGCCTGGCAGAGGGCAAGCCGGGGCTCAGGCCTGCGGCCAGCGCAAGGCTGGCTGTGTCCATTGGGCCAAGCACAGAAGCTCCAGCCTCCATCCCAGCTGGTCCAGAGCTGACAGGAGAAGTCAGCTGAATCTTTTGGGTGATGCCATTGGGCAGTGTCTGAAGAACATACAGGGGCTGCATATTCTGGTTGACCACCAAGAGCTTTTCTGCAGCAGCCTTCAGGTGGAGAGGGGCTGTCTGCACAGCAGCGTTCGAGATGGGAGATGGGCCAGGCTTGTCGGGGGCACTTGGCCCATATTTGGGATTCTGGAGAGGAAGAGAGGGAGAAACAGGGAGGCCAGGGGTCCCACTGCTCCTGCCAGACAGTTCTTGGCCCGCCCCAAGACCAGCATCCCTTGGTCCACAGGGCGGGCTGGCCATGTGCTCTGCTTCCAGATGACTTTGAATGAAAGGGTCAGGAGTCAGAGGGCCATCAGGGCTTGGAGCCACTCGTGGGCTTAGCAATGTTGGCTCTGCTTCACCAGAAGAAGCCTTTTCAGTGACCGTTACCCTCTTCTCAGCAGAATTTGAGGAAGGGATAGTTAACATTGATCTCTCCCCTGAGGTGGCAAGAGAAGGTTCTGGAATGACTGCAAGTCTGCTATGGTTCTGACTGGGGACTGCAGGGCTCCGGGTAGTCAAGACCGAGAGATCAGAAGGCAGCTCTAAGGGCAGCTCAAACTGTTCCTCTGCTGAAATTGATGATGAGACGCTGCTATCTACTGGCTCGGCTGTTGGCAGCTGCTGAGAAAACACTTCAAAGAGACCCATATCTTTGGCCCGATTGCTGTCGAGGCCCAGACCTTCTCCCAGAGTCAGGAGCTCCGAGGATGACGACTCCGGGCTCTCCCCCAGAGCCTGCATCGAGGGAGTGTTTTTCAGGACAAAGTCCATGATGTCTGAAGGAAGAATGTTCCCACAATCATCGCTGTTGTTATTGTCGGAGTCGGACTTCAGCAGTTCGGTGCTGAATGTATCCAGCAGGTTCTTCTCAGAGGGCTCTGGGTTGACACGAGGACGACGACCAACAGCTTCTAGGGAGCTCAGCTGAGCTTCCAAAGAATCTTGAGTTTTGACCCGGCAATTCTCCATTTTGGGATCAGCTGTTTTATGACCAACTGAACTCTTGGTCACTTGCATTTTCTCCCCACTATCTTCACTTCGTTCAAGTTTTAAGCTTTCTGTTCCATTTTCTTTGCCGTTCCTTTTGTTTCCTGAATTGATTTTCCTTGTTGTTACTGTGATGCTTGCATCACTTTCTGTTCCGTCATCCACACCATCCAGCTGAGAGATTTTGGGGAGACTAATCTGTTCCTCTTCACGGAATAAACCATGAGAAGCCATGTGCTCATTTGAGCTTGAAACAACGGTTCGGGTGAAGTTGTAGTAATAGAGGTCTTCTTCATCTGAGGTGCTGAGATCATCGGCACCATCCACTTGGCCTTCAGCAGACCGCCTGCCTCTCTTCTTGCCGGTGGAGTTGCTGTAGAAGGGAAGGTCTTCCTCACCGTATGACCTCACACCATACAAAGGGGTCAGACCAAAAAACATGTTGGATCTGGCACGTGCACTACGCCGAGGGTATCGCCGCTTGTAGGAGCCTTCTTCCTGTTCTTTTGCTCCATCCTGGATCATCAAGCCGCTATCTTGAACAGGCAGATTTGGATAAGGGGGATCGGTTGGGGCCATTGAGGAGGAAGCAGAATTTTGAGTTTCTGGGACACTACAGTCATTTCCTGAGTGCTCTGGGATGGAAACAGACTGGGACACAGAAGCTGGTGTGCAAACCTTAGGCTGAGATTCTGCATCGTGCTCTCTCTGAATATTTTTGGACTGACTCTCACCTTCCATCTTGAGTGGAGTCAGGGTTACTTTCACTGTGCGCTTTTGTGAATTCTGCAAATCCCTGGAGGTGGCCATTTCACTCTGGAAAGAATCTTTGGATGTCTCCTGGCCAAGCAGATTATTGTCAATGAGTTTCTCAACAGCAATGCTGTTGTATTGCTGATTAATATGCTCAGATGTCATTGCCCGATGAACAAATTCTGTCTCTGCACATTCTTTGTGGCTAATTGGGAGGACACTTAAACTTCTAAAAAGCTTGCTAGAATGCCTATCTTTTATCCCCTTCTTCATTTTTTGTCTACTCTCTCTATCCACAGAAGATACTGGATCGTTTATGCAAGGCGATTGATTACTTATTCCTGAAAATGGTGAGGCCTTTGCTTCTGGGGCTTCATAAAAGCAATTTTTGTCTGCCTGTGTTAGATGCCGGTCTTGTTCCTTCTTTGGGGGTTTCTGGTGCAACAGTGCAGAAACTACAGATTCTTCGGGAGAAAACAGTCCAGAAGAGGAGTCTGGGAACTTCTCTACCTTGCTCAGGTTTCCTTCTGGGACAGAGATGCTTTGTCTATGGCAGCCTGCTTTTGAATTCCCACAGGAAGCACTTGGATCTTGGAGGCTCAGCAGCTTCTCCTTCTCTGACTTGGCAGAAAACGGTCCTCCAGAAGGCACAGTTTCAAAGGAGAGGGTTCCCTCCCGAGGAGGAGCTCCTTTGCCTCTGCTTGCGATGGCCAGACTGGGAGGGGTAAATGTGTCCTGGAGAGTGACGTGCAAGGCTGCCGGTCCCACAGAACGTTCGGTATGCTTGATGCTCACGGTATGTTCTTGGACAGGACTACTGCTGGGTCCTGAAGAGACGGTGTTGCGCTGAGCATTTGTGGTCCCGACTCCGGTGGGAGGCAGCATCCAAGACCTCAGTGGCTGTGGAAACAGAGATGCGCTGGGCCTCCGGGAACCAATGCTCCGAAATCCAGAGGACAACAGAGGATCTCCCACGGTTACGATTTCATGTGTCACAGGGGTGGGGCTTCCTAGGGAGAGAGAGAGATTTCCTTTAAGAAGAAAAGGGAGCACAACGAATTCCAAAGAAACTGATCCCCAGGTCAAGCACTTCTTGTCCTTAGCTCAGGTCTGCTTTTTCCCTTAGGCAAATCTATCATGACTAGGGTGCTTTGAAGGCAGAAAGACAGGCTTTGACTCAAAATGACACACCAAGACTAGGGAAGTAAAGGGAACACAATTCCTCCCAGGCTTTACATTACAATAGGGCTAGTTTAGTCTTATCTGGAAATACTTTTTAAGGTATTTAAATTAATTAATTAATAATAATAAACCCTTTATTATCAAAGTATAACATGTATAAAGTGAAATTGGCTGAGCCTCCCTCTGTGCCCCCCCCACCACAAACTCGCGGTGACTACAAACCCCCAACTTAACTAAATATCTGAATATAGTTTTTAAATAAAAAACATCCCATATTCTAAAGCCATGGTTAAGTCAAAAGCCATCACAGAAAAAAAGTCCTGAGCCAGACCTGCAGAAGGCAACGGCCTTGAACCAGGAGTTCGCTGGGAAGGAGCAAAACTCAGAGTTCTGATCCGCAGAGCCTTTAAGTTCTGAGGATGTGGAGAAAGATCTGCAGAGGGAGGGTTCAGGTCAGCTGATGCTGCATGGCCATCTCTGGGTGGAATTTCTGCTGCAGGAGAAAAATAGGACCATCATTCAATTTGAATTAAACTCCACTATTTGAACAGACTATTTCAAGGGGGAAAAAACCCAGAAATAAGCATTTCTCCTCAATAACTTCTTTTGTCAAAGGAGAGGGAAAGGGCTCTCACATCACCATCAACTAAAAGTGAGAACTTTTGGGAGGGATGATTTTATGACTGAATATTTCTTTCTTCTACTCCAGTAACATTTCTGAGAAATTCCACCTGCCCTGTTGTTCTCCATTAGGCAAAAGAGACTCAACTCTGAAAGTAGGCATATTTTAAATGCCAATTTCTAGAGCTAAGGAAGAGGAAGCCACATTGACTACTCAGCCTCTTTCTGCCTTCCTCTGAAGTATTTTTGCAGTGGAACCTCTCAGCATTCAATTCAAGAGACCTCTAAAAAGGAACTGCCCAGACAAGAGAAACAGCTGATCAGAGGTAGCTGCCAATTTGACATCATGGACCCTCTTCTGTTGCCCCACACCTGAAAGTGACACTGGGTTGTGAACAATGGTCCGGTTGTCGTCATGTTCCATGGTGCTGTTGATGTCGGAGTCTAGGAGGGGAGGACGGCATTCCATGATCTTGCACGTGTAAACACAACGTTTTCGAGCATCAGTTGTGCTCCAGTAAACTCGGGAGCACCTGAACAAACAGTATATGCATCAGATAAGTGCTGGGACAATAACATATATTTTCTGGAAATTTTGAAGCCACAGAAAAATGTTGGACATTTTGAAAAAGAAAACAAAAACAAAATAATTTTAAATTATCTTGTGTCCAGTTTAATTTTCCACAAAATGAATTCATTTAATTTATATTGGATATAAAAGTAATTAATGTTACTAGAATAAAATAACTCAACCTCCTTACATTTCAATTACTATATAATGATTTTTCCTGCTCTTTTAAGTTGTGGGTTATCGGAGGCGGAATCTCAAGCAGAGGATTACATGAAGTGTCTAACCCAGTGGTTCTCAACCTGTGGGTCGGGACCCCATTTGGGGTCGAATGACCATTTCACGGGGGTCGCCAAACCATGCTGTCCGCCATTTTGTTCCCTTTTCCCTAGCTGTCCTACTCCCTCTTATTGGTGGCCACACCCACTTGGGGGTCACCACACCATGGGGAACTGTATTATGGGGTCACGGCATTAGAAAGGTTGAGAATCACTGGTCTAACCTGTGTATTTGGGACAGTCCATTGTCCACCTTTCTTTTGCAACTACTGCTCGCTCACAACATGGGAACATGTAGGGAAGACCTTCTGTTATGCACATTGTACAAATCACGTACAGGGGAGGAAAGGGATTTAGCATATAGATGCTGTATGTTAAAAGTATTCTAAAGGAAGTTATAAGCAATCCTCATTTAGCAACTGCCTTGTTTCCAACCATTTGAAATTATGATAGTAATGAAAAATTAACTTTACAACCAGTCCTTGCACTTACAACTTTTGCAGGTCTGTAAAGCAAAAGAAAGCTCTTTGAAATAAGATTATAAGCTGCCAGTTGCAACTGTGGTCACAAAATGAGAACTATCTTGTATTTCATAATCCAATTAAAAGTGAAGGGTGAAAAATAAGGAAACAGAAAAGGGATGAGGAGACAGGATTGTTCTTTTTTTTTTCATCTCTTGCTGAGACCCGGGCCAGCCAACCAGCACTCCCTTGCAGCCTAGTTTCTTCTGACCATTTTGCATTTTTTTCCTGAAGGAGCTTCTGACACAGGAGTGGCTTTCACTTACTGGTATCCAACTGGAAAGAGCCTGTCTTCGCAATCAGAGAGGTCATTCAGGATGCCAAGACAGTCAATGCTCATTGACCCTACAGGGAAGTAGAAGAAAGGCTGAGCTACAGGAAAAGCAGTGGCGCGAGAGACCATCTATCCCAACCTCACTTCACCAAGGACTTACCAATCATCACATGGATGTTCTCTGGTTCCAAACCATTCAGAAACTTCCGCCTCAAGCTGATTCCTTCAAAATCCACAAAGACTCTTCTCAGGACCTCAAAGCCATTTTCTGGCACTATCTGCAAACAAACCCACACCAAAGTAAGTCATCTGGACAGAAAACAAATGAAGGGCAAGAAGAGAGGCCGGTGGCATAGGACGTACCTCCCCTTTGATCAGATCCTTGTGTCGTGAACAGTACACCTTCTTATCCTCCAAGAAGACACAATTTTTGGCCCGAGAACACATAAAATGGTAGTTACTGGTGCAAGTGGCCAGGCAGCAGCCGACTGTGGCACCCGACTTCTGGCAGAACTCACATCGCTGCAAGATTGGCATGTTACTCTGATTGTCAAACTGCACAAATACTGTACGGTTAAAATGAATGTTACACATAATATATCAGAGAACTCCTAATTGGTTCTTTTTGCCCTAGCTGTAAGCAAACAGAGCTACTGGTCCATTTTTTTAAACAAATTAAGCATATATTTAGGGTTACAACTTTATATTTCACTAATTTAAACATACCTTTAAGTCTATTTATTTAACCAAGCACCTGAGAAAAATCAACAACCGCTCTAAAGCAATCAGAAGGAATCGGCACTTAAGGGAGAGACTGAACCTCAGTTCAACTGCTTGGGGCAGCTGCACCTTAACTGCTGAAAAGCACCTTTTCACACCCCGGCCTGGCTGCCAAGAGGAGCCAATTCCACACAATGCAGACTCCTTTTTTGTGTTACTAGCATTAATGAAATAAAACAATAACATTGAACCAAGAGGTTTTTTTTCAGAAATTCTTTCAGAAGAAACCTTTTTCTTTTCTATAAATACTGATCTGTGATCTCCATAACTGAAATTGCAATACAAACGAGCTCCCTTGCTCTTGCAGTGGTCAAGGAGAGAAAGTGCGAAAGAGAACGCTCTACAGTCACACATCCTACCCACCAGCTGCTTCCCACGAATCACGGCCACGTGCACGTTCTTCAGAGAGCCATCCTCCTCCTCAAACACTTCAGCTGACCACAGGGCACAGTTCACGTGGGTCCACTCATTCTGACCAATATAAAGGAGACGGCCAGCATCCTATAGAAAAGCATACAGCCCACCAAAGGCATTTGTAGGCAGAAGTCCCACCCTGCTCAGGGAGGAAGTGCTGCTGAAGGAAAAGCTGATAAGCAGGGAGGGTCAGAAAAGGCCCATTATTTTGATCTCAATTCGAAGGTCTCGATCCTTTATAAACACTGCTAATGCACCTTCAGTTTGTGGCAAAATGATTAGCCCAAGATTCCTCTCACATATACAACTGCTAAGCCAGGTGTTCTCCATCCTCAATTTATGCCTATTCACATTTTTATTTCACCATGTAATTTTCCCTAATGTATGCTTTTGCATCAGTTTCTATTGTAACAAAATATCTGAATTTTATCCTGAGATTTTAGCAAATCTCTCCCAGCTCTGAGTCATCTGTAAAGAATGGAAAGAATCTTTTAATCAAATAATTTTTGAAAACCAGGCACTGTGAATTCTAGGCCTCTCTTCTAGGCATGAAAGCTGGCTAGCCAGATGATTTTGGGCCAGTCATTCTCTCTTAGTCAAACCCACCTCACAAGATTGTTGCTGTGGTGAAAATGCGAGACAGGTGTATTAAATATGTTTGCTGCTTTGAATTGACCAATTTTATAAGTGGGATAAAAATATAACAATCTCTTTTATAGCATTATCTGCTAACTGTGTTTGGTCAGCTTGCTCACCAAAGTCTCAGAGTGATTTAATCAAATGTTTTTAACTGACAAATGATATCACTCTAAGTTATGAAGATGACTCGAGATCAGTCTGCCAGGATTAGCTTAAGTAGACAGAGCAAGCAGGAGCACCTCAAGAGGGCTGAAATCAGAGTCTGGTAGCTACTTACATTGCCTCCATCATCACCGTACTTCAGGCAAAGACAGCACTGCCGGTTGTCTTCGACATCCGGAGGAGGGGAAAGTTCTGGGCTGTCGTCTTGGCTTCTGTCGGAACCTCAAAGCAAATGGAAAGAATTAATTCCCAATAAAGAATATGAGGAAGAAACATGGGACGGGACTAACTATGGGGAGCAATCGACCCAGTTGCAAAGGGCAGAGCAGCAAGAGCTTTTTCAAGCAAAGCAGTCTAAGCAACGACTCAAAGGATTTGGGGAGGGGGAAATGGGATGTATTTCATTCAGGCAGAAAGCAGACCACAAGGCTCCTCTCTGCTCCCCCAAAGCCTGTCTTCTGGGAGAACTTGCTACAGAGAAAAGGAGGCTCAATTTCTCACTGGATAAGGGTGAGGCAGGAAGATGCAGTGGCGTAGGCGAGTTTGGCTCTCCCGGCCCTTTGAATTTTGGAGCTGGAATTATTTTCTTCATCAGAGAGGGTTGCTGCTGAGCACAACGGTTTTCTTCACGTTCCTGCCACTGTGCATAGTTATGGTCAAGGGAGGGGGGCAGGACAGCATTAGGCAGCATTCCACTGCTAAAAGACAATAAGAGACACGGCCATAAGTCAGATGCAGCTCTCAACTTCCAAAGCCCTTCATCCCTTAGCTCCCTTCGGAGAAAGAACGATGCCAGAGGACTCCGGCTTCTGACGGTTGACCACAGTTGCTGCCAGAGAGACTATTTGGAAATCCATATGATTTCCAAGGGACAGCATTATGGTACCACCTCTGGTTAATGACAAAGAGTGACTTCAGGAAGCAGAACAATTACTTACTTTGCCGTGACTTTGTTTGGTTCCCAAAATCTTGATTTCTTTACATTGAACCACGGAAAAACTCGTTCCATTTGCTAAAGAGGAAAACCACAATTTGATAAGATTTAGCATTACTTTGCTTGGCATTAACCTTTTAAGAAAACTGCCATGGAGCTCAGCAAATTTATCAGAATGATGAACTTATGACAGGTTCAAAAACAGTTCCTTTGGAGAATCAGAGCTGCTCTGGGAACAAGGGCAACACCAACTTTCCTCAAGACAAGGGCAAAATACAGCCTACCCTCATGAAGAAGGACTTCATCACACTGTTGGCCTTCTTGAGTTCTGGCTGCCCTCCATCCGCATTGATAGCTGCTTGGATTATCTTAACAAGATCATCGCTGAACTCCAACTAGATGTGAAAAATAAGATCCACCTTGCTATGGTCCTTAAGGCATGCCTCACTACCTGCAGGAGCTGTAAACTCTTATGGCATTTTCATCGGGCAGCTCCCTGGCCCAACCATTGCTGGAGTCAAATGGGTGGCCTCCTCTTCACTCACAGGAGGGGAAACAGGGCAGCAGAGATCCAGCAACCATGCAAGAAGTGGCAACCAGATTGCGGCCTTTTAGTGCAGTGGCACAGCCTATTTTAACTCGGCTTCAATTTTTGCTTCATCCCAGCAGAAGTCCTGAAAGTGAGAGGGGCCAACTGCACTGAGACCTACCACAGAAGGATAGCCTCCATGGTCCATCTTCCTTTTCACGCCTTCTAGATCAAGTGGTGGCTGTTCTTCCTGCTTGCCAACCTCTGTAAGTATGGGAGGGTCTGGGCCTTTGGGAGAACTTTGAGAGGGTACACTTTCTTCTATTTCAGGATTCAAGTCAGGAGGTTTGGCTGCCTGGAGACAGAGAAGATGAGGGTAGAACATTTTCTGAAGAATTTTACAAACAATATGCTAATGCACAACATAGTAATCGAGAGGAGAGAGGTTATTTTCATACATTAAGAAAATTAGTAGCCCTGTCTCTTGGTCAACAGAGTTCTTCCACCTACCTTTCCACACATGCACACATAGTACATTAATACCTGACACAGTTTTAAACCTACAGCTCTTCCAATGATGCACAAGTATCCATTGCATTCAGCTACTTTGGAATAGAAAATCTGGGAATTCTTGCAGGGATTTGCTTGTAGGTGTGTTTGTGTGTGTGTGTGTGTGGGGGGGGGGAAAATCAAGAACCACCTCCTAAGACCTGATAGGACCTTGGAATGCAGCCGTGAGTTCCTAAAAAAGCTCGTTAGGGCAAAGCAATGTTTGTTCAGGATTCTTCCAACTTTAACTGATACAGGATAATGATTGCCATATGAATTGTGATAGTTAAGATACCAAATCTTCTGTTCTTAGCCTGTGACACTGACTTAAGACTAGTGATGATTAGCTAATTCTGCTGTTTTTCCTAGAAATTCTGCATTTTCAATAACCAACATCTCATAAATAGACTTAGAGAGACAGACAAACAGTTGGTTAGTTTGGGAAAGGAAAAAGGTAGATGTACCTGTCGATAACGCAGTAAGTGGCTAGTTGTTCTAGAATTCAGTAGGGCTGTCAAAACTTGCTTTAAAGAAAGCTGCAGCTCTTTCTCAAGGGCCAGCCGCCATTCAGGAGGATGCTGTTCAGTGCAATTAATGCAGGTGTAAGCCACGCTCTCTGGAAGGTTGGAGAGGATTTCATACATCTCATCTGAAGGAAGAAATGGTAATGGTTTTATGGGTGCCAGAAGGGTGTGTTTGTGCAGAGCAAGGAAAGAGGGATATGAGGATAAGGGCTTAACTCAATGCCCATGTATGTTCTGATGTCTCAGAATCGGGAGAATGTGGTGCCTGCCAACTCAGCCATCTTAAGCATGAGAGGAACATGCCTCGGTAGACATCTGGAGCGGGAGTATATACAGTCTGCTAGTTTATGTAGACTAACTCTACCCCAAACCATCTCACAGCATTTCCATTCACCTTCCAAGATTCAAGGTAAGTGCGATACTTTCTAAAACTGGCTCAGTACACAGCTTGACACGGTTACATTTCTGTTTGTGAGCATTAGAGGAATTTCTGGATACCAATCTTTGCTGCAGGGTTTCCCCACCTTTTTTTAAACCAGTGATCTGCAAAAGTAATCTAAGGGTGAAATCTGTTGACCGTAAATACTCTTCCTCACCAGAGAGGTTTTCACATTTGGCATGAACCCAGCGGTCACACTTCCCACACTGCATCATCTTGCTTTCATAGTCGTCGTCATCATAGCACTTGTCACAGAGGGGGCAGAAGTTCCCTGCAAGCAGCAGAAAACCATGAGCTGGGCCCAGACAGCCCGAGAGTCGGGACTAAGCAGGGGCTGGGGATGCCTCACAAAGCAAGAATGGCTGCTGGCAAGTACTGTCACTGACTGACGGGGGGAGACCCCTCTCAGTTCAGTGACTGAGTTCATACAGGCAAAATGGGGCTTATGGTGGCTTCTTTAACAAACCACCGTTAAAACAATGTTAAGTCTTAGTGTTATCTATGAAACAGGCAGTGTTCAATTCTATGTAGGAAGCTGTCTGCCTTCCCCGTTCTAAGGGAAAGATTGAAAAGCAACGATTTCCCCTCAAGTGGAATGGCTGCCAACCCTCCCAGGCTTTGGTCCTCAATAGCGTTCAGCTCTTTTGCACCTTTAGCGAAGAGTTTGGCACAATCGTGACACAAAGAGAAGTCGTGGGACCACTGTGCATCCCACCCTTTGCCTGGAGTTGTCGCCCCACAGCTCTTACAGCGAACACACTTGGTACAGATCTAGAAAGAGAGAAAGAAGCTTGGGCTTTTTTCAAGCATCACTCACTGAGAAATATCAATATATCTCTATTAAAAAGAGACACTATATTCAATAAAGAAATCACAACAGCAAAATAAAAAACCAATACAAAAGATATACTTGAGCATGTCCATTTTCCCAGGAATTTGTACAATCACAACCATTCTCCTTTCCCCACTTTCTTCTATTTTGTTAAAATGACCTTTTGTTTGAGTAACAAAGTCTGCCTAAGAAATACCCAGATTCCCCAGAGAAACATACCCACACTTTCTTCTTCTTTGTGGGCTTAGTTGGGTAGTTCGGTCCCAGGCACTCTGGGTGATAGCTGTTCCGGCACTTGTTGCACTCCAACAATTGCTATGGAATTGCAGAAAAAAGAAGTGGCATTGCACAAAGCCTGGACACAGCGTTTTAGGCTTCAAGAGGCCTCCTTCCAACGCAAGTGCACAACACCCTAAGTGCCAGTCCGCTTTCCAAAGAAAGAACCGGACAGGTGCCAGAAACCGAGGTGAGTTACCTTGGAGGCCTGATGCGGTCTCCCACATACATGGCAGAACTTGCAGCGACGGCAGCACCAGTTTTCCAACTGGTCTTCCAGGGGGCGTTCATTAACCTCTAAACAGAATTTGTGGAAAGGCTCACAGCAGACCTGGCAATATACAAACTACAAGCAAACAAACAAGTCAGCCAATCAGGCAGGCCTACTGCACCTCCTTCCCTCCCTCCCCCCCCCTCTCAGCTTAGCTCTGATGGATTTTGTAAGAATTTGGTTCTTAACTCAAGCAGCACTGCCTTGAACTGAAAGGCAAAGTACAAACTGAATGAATGAAGGAAGAAAGGAGTGACGGCATAATGGCTCCACCTATTAACATCCAAAGTACAGTGGTACCTCGGTACTCATTGACAAGACGTTCTGGGAGGTGCAATGAGTACCAAATTTTCCCCCATGGGAATAATGTAGTGAGTTACAAGACAGCTGACACTGACAAATTCCAGCTTGTGCATTGAGTACCAAACAAATGATGAGTACCAGGACATTTTTTTTGTGTCAAAATGCTCTGAGTACAAAATTCAATGAGTTTCAAAGCAACTGAGTACCAAAGTACCAGCGTAATACAAAATTGGGTCCATAAACAAAATCATCTGAAGATGCTTTCAGACTACATCCCAACTTGTCTGTGAGCAATTTCACTTCTACAGCAATCCCAGACTCTGCAACAAGCAAAAAATATGATGTATCAGGGCTTAGAAGGAACTGGCAGCAGTTGGACCAGTTTGTGGTTTCAGAGGCAAATACATTTTTAAATAAAAAATATTAAAACATGATTCTGCAAAAACAATGGATTATTTTGATGAAGGATTCAATTCCATCTATGTATTTCAAATTTACTTTAACAATGCAACTAAAAAACCCTCTCCCACATCCGGCTACCCTCTTACCTCCACGTTCCCGCTGCTGGCACACAGGAAGCAGACTACTCTGGGAGTTATCGGAATGGAGGTTAGGATACCCAAACCACCCATTTCCCAAACGCTTTCAGCTTCACAGTCCTCCTAAAAAGCAGAGAAGCAACACCTGCTGGAGATTGTTCTGCCAGTCCCTCAAGACTGCTTGCTTGGCAGTACAAAGTGGTGGGAAGGGAGGGAACTGTCCCTACTCTGTGGCCCAACTCCTGAGGGAGGAAGCCACACCCAAAGCTGCCTTGTTACCTTGAAGTCCACTCGGATCCTGTGGACCCCATCTGTCAGGGGCTTCTGCTTGGAAGGAGTGTTGTTGGATAAAGTGCTCAGGGTATTGAGCGGGCTATTCTCTGGCTTGCTGACTGGGAGGGGCTTCTCCTAGAAAGATGGGAGACACAATATTTCCTTTACTTCCCAAACTGGCTCAGAATATATTGAACACATAGGCGCCTTGCCTAGCCTGTGATAAGTGGCCAGTCTCAAGAGGCACCGCAAAATTCATGCTGAGTTATCACTACCATCTGACAAGGAACAATACTAGAGAAATATTACACTCATTTTTTTCTTAAAAGGCTAGAAATGCTAATATTTGGCATGTATGCATGCATACCCTCCAGGGGCCCAGACTCTACCTGGCTCTGGAGGGTGTGCACTACTAGGTTTGGACCCTCGGAAAGGGGTGAGATCAGGATCAGGCTTAGTAGGGCACAATCACAGAACACTTTTTGTCTTGAAACAAGATGAAGCATCAGGTTACCTTTTCTTTTGATTTCTGTTTCATTGGTAAGCTGGGACGTGGAATGATTTTCTTCTGTCTGTTTTGCTCAATGGCTAGAAAAAGTACAAACATACTTTGTAATAACCCAAGACTTGTCTCTTAAAGCATTTGGGACTTTGTTAAGGCAGAAAAGACACTATCTCCTTTTTGCTTCTAGAAACAAACCCTAACCCCTCCAGAATAAAGCTATACCCCAGCCCTTTCCCCACTTCCTATCTATTTCTTCTGCTTTAAGTACGGACCTAGATTAAACCAAAAGAAATAAGAGGAATGCACCATGGGCTTTGCTAAAGAAACGGGATGTGCTTATAGCAAACAGGCATACAGAAGGAGAAAAGGAACAAAGGATTACAAAAGAGAAAGGCAAGTCCCATTTGCCTGCTGCTTTCTCATATGGCTATTGATGTGTGCCCAAGAAAGCCCCTTTTTGCATGCAGTTGTTGAGCTGGGGCATTTTCTCCCTGTGGGAGGCAGTCTTACATCAGAGAGCGAGGCCCAACCAGTCTCTCCAGAGAGCAGATATGTTGGTCTTGGAGAGGCCAACATGCCTGTCAACACGAACCTGCTTCCAGGGATGGCGCTATTTTTTTCTTGAGTTCAGCCAGGACAGTTTTGGGGGCTTCCTTTTTGGGCGGGACCAAGCTAGGCAGCTGGATGGGGGACAGGGCAGGCGATGCTTGTTTGCCAGCTTTCCGGGTAGCAGAGGGAAGAGGCTGCTTGGGGTCCAGGATGGGTGGCAGCAGCTGCCCTTCCTCTATCTTTTCTTCACTGGCCTTCCGGGCTGGTTCGCTGCTTCTCTTGGAGGCCTGATCCTCTTTCCCCAAAGCCAGAGGAGAAGCTGCTGCTTTTTGCCCTGACTCCTCCTGAATCTTCCCCACATGGCTGTCTTTCTTTTCACCGGACTTGGATTTCTTCTCCTTTTTTTTCACAGCTGCAAAGTAGAAAAGCCCTTTTGATGGAAGTGTCACCCACATATGGAGCTGTTGTTCTGAAAACACCCGTGTCCTGTCCCTTCTTGCTCTCCCTCTCCAAAGGGCTTCCCACCTTTGGCTTGCTTCTGGAGATAGGCTTTCGATGGCATCCACTGCAGATTCTGGCACTTCCTCATCCTTCAGAAAGAGAAAAGAAAGAGATGGGAAGACACATTACTAAGCACTCTGCAGGAGATTCTGCTAGCAGGATCCTTGGTGCTCTCTGAGCTTGATGGTTTTCTTGCAGGTGTTTCATTACCCAAACTAGGTAACATCATCACTAATGTTGATGATGTTAACTAGTCGGGTCATGAAATGTCTGCAGGAAAATAACCAAGCTCAGAGAGCACCAAGAGCCCTCATTTCAACTCTGATCTACAAATATTATTCTCCTTTATTGGTCTTCTGCTAGCCTGGCCATTTCTGACTTGCAGACCTGGGGGGGGAGGGGGGGGAGAGGAGAGGAAGAGAACGATCCTGTAAAAAGAAATGCCCAGAAATTTTCAACCATCACCCCCCCAAGCTCCCAGGTAAGTCTGGCTATCTGAAGTGATTGACCTCAGCAGGTTATGCTTGGCAATATTAGTCTCTCAGCTGCAGTGAAAGGAATCTTATTTGAGATTCTGTCCAAAGGAGAGAAGAGCAGCATAAGTATTCCCATTCCCTGTCTGAGCTGACTGGCCAGGCAGCTCAAGTATGAGTAATGGGGGGACAGAGGAAGGATTCACCCAGGGGAGCTGCTTCCCCATTTCGCTTAGAGACAAAAACCAACATCAGCATGGCAAAAAGAGGCACTTGCACCAGGTATGGCAAAGATCTTTAACTGAGCTCCCCTTTGCACCGTCTGCACATGCCTGCTTCTTTACCACCATGGCCTGAGAAAGAAGTGCTTAGAACTCAGCTGCCATTTGATGAAAAATCCAGCCCAAAGCATGGGAAAGTCTGGACCCTTGGCATCTCCTCAGGGAGGGCGAAATCAGTGTTTTAGGGTATTCCCATCCCCCAGAAGAGTTGGTCATACGGAGGCCACAAATCCACACTTACTTGCAGCACTGCTTTTTTATGTTCCGCCCACCGAACTTCGGCTTATCCAGACAGTTTGTGCAGACGCCACAATCTTCTGGGACTTGGCAGCCTGGACACTGCCCACAGCGCCTTGACCGTCGGCCTTTCTTCACCGGAGGCTCCTGAGGGGCCTTGCTTCTGGTTACTGGCTTGATGGGCTTGATGGGAGGTGCCAGGGGCTCAGCGTCTTCTGAACCAGCAACAGAGGATTTGTCTGTCAAAAAGACCCCCGGTGATTAATTCAGCATCATCAATGGAGAGAAAAGTGACGATTGTGCTACTTGCACTTTTTCTAAAGGAGCACCGCAAAAGGGTCTATTCAGATTTTTGTAAAACTACCCTTCCATTTAGCTGTCTCTCTTACATTAATTTCTAATGCCCCTTGATATAAAGAAAAGAATGTAGTTATTTATCCAGATCAAAACATTCACCATCATTCCCCATGGAAGACAGTATCTTCTCCCGTTCTTCCCATGGTAAGGCACTCAGAGTGGGCATGTCATCTGGGAAGACTGCTCGCTTGCGGCCCAGGGCGACAGCTGCCCTCCTGCAGACATGCTTGATGCGTGGACCTCGTACAGAGGTCTCTGAGGAATCGCTCTCTTGACCCTAAATTCCAGCAGAGAAACAGATTGAATAGGTTGATGCAATCATCCTGCTATAAGCAACTCAATCCCAGTAGAGAGGCATGGCTGGCTGGCTTCTTGGCCTTCTCTAACATTATGTTTCCAAGTGGGTTCCCTTCCACAAGGCAGAGAGGCTTTGCCTAAAGCCAATCACTTGCAATTCTGCAAATATAAACACAAACTGCATCAAGGAGCTCAGGTTGAGTATGAGCTTATAGTGAGTATCTACTAGAAATAATACATAGCAACATCTACATATTGCAAGACACTTAGTAACTGTGTTGTATATAACAACCCAAGGGAGCTGGGATGGGCAGGAAGGAAAAAGAATGAAAAAAGAAAGAAAAAAAAAAACAAAACAAAACCTTCCCTGCAATAATTCAGAGCTCATCGCTTCCCTTGAGATGGAAGATCCAGGGTTACAAATGTTTTGAATTCAATTCCCCAAAGATGCTCTGGAGTGCAATGGGGTGGGAAAGTAGCGCCCATCCACAAGCATTAATACAGAGGCACAAGACACCTGGAAAGGCGAACTGCTATGTTCCATTCTGGTGCACGCCGACATTCCTTGCAGAGTCTTCGCAAGGAAAAAAAGACACAAGAAGCTTTAAGCAAACAGCTCACAGCATGCCAATGTTCGTCAGCAGTGGCAGTATAATAGCAAACATTTCCCGGTTCACAGCTTCCCTGGGCTTGCTTAGCGAGACCCAGGGACCAGTCGCACTTGCACCTTCTCAGGAAACTCCTGTCAACCATCATTGCTTCACCTATTCTGTCAGGGGAACACTAACTCTTATTGCCTGTGCTACCTCCCTTCTAATCCCACTATGTTTGGAAGATACCTGTCCTTTGGGCTGATCCACCTGTTTGAGGGACTTGCTCTTCTCAATCTTATAGAGCTGAGCCTTAGCTTTCTTCAGGAGACTGGCCACCCTCTTGTCAGCCATTGGAAGCTTATCAGCATGAGCCAATACTGAGCTGATGGAGGAATGTTTCACAATGCCAACTGAGGCAGCAGGAAGACGCAAAGGTTCTTCCTTTTCTGCAGACGAGGCTTCCAGGCCAAGGTCCAGATTTGATTTCTCCAAGCCCCCTCGGCTTTTCTTGGGTAACTTGGTCTTTATGCTAACTGAGTCCACAAGAACTACCGCAGGGACAACTGCTGCTGGATCAGCGGCAGTTAGTTTCCTCCGTCCTGTAGGTTTTTTGGCAAAAGATGAGGTTGCTACATCTTCACTCACAAGAACCTTTCCTTTAGAACCTCGAGTTGGCGGGAATAAAGCAGAGCTGCTCTGAATTTCTGAAGCCTTCTTCTTCTTCTTCTTCTTCTCCTCCTCTTTCCTCGATTCACGTTTGTTTTCTTTCTCCCTATCTCTATCTCTTTCTCGGCTCTTCTCCTTCTCAGGACTGTTGTCCCTTTCTTTGTCTTTGGACAGCTCCTCGGTGGCTTTGTCTTTGCTTCTGGTCCTCTCTGTGTGGGGACTTGGTGCGAACCAAGGAAAAAGGGAAGCAGTGCCACCCGATGAGAATGGCTGGGCAGGAAGGTTTGTCTGTTTCCTTGGCCTCTGACCTTTCTCTGCTGCTTCCCCAGTCTGGGACAGGGAATGTGAAGGGAAAGTGAACGTGGTGGCGTTTAAGGCACTAGTGGTAAGGGAGCCTACAGAAATGCTAGTTAGGGAAGAAGAGACGGAGGCTGGAGGGAGTGTGGGCAGCTCAGAGGTGCCGAGTCTTCCGCTTCTTGTCCTCATGGAGTGCGAAGGAGATCTCGATTCAGATCGGATTGGGCTGAAAACTCGCCTCTTCCGTTTTCTTGAAGAAGCTGCTGCTGTGGCGCTTCCCGCAGCACTTCGACTAATCGAAGGGGGCAACGTGACAGACTCAAAGATGCGTGAGTGTGCCTCACTGGGAGTGAATCTTGGGGCTCGCAACAGGGGGCTTCTCTTATGCAGATCAAATCTTGTTCCAGAATGAAGAGGAGAAAATAAGTGGGTGGGAGCTGTGGCCCCTGGAGGGGTAAAGCTGGCCGCGGCAGCAGCAAAACCCACGTCTTCTGGGGTCAGGGGCGGCGGCCGGAAGTTATCAAAAACCGGCTTGCGGATAAGACCTTCTTTGGCATACTTGGCAGAGGAGAAGTACTGGGGCTCCGAGCGGGAGGGCTTCAGGGAAGTCCAACGAAAGGTCGGTTCTCGGAGGATTGACTTCCGCTTCTCTTGCACAGGAGCAGCAGAAGAAGATGGCAAGAAGGGTGATGCCAAGGGAATGGTGGGAGGCATGAGCCAGGGCGCATGGTCAGAGATGCCTGCTGCTGGCTGCAGGGGGGGAGGCGGGGTGAGCAATGGGGGGGGAGGTGAAGAAGAAGAAGGAGAAGACTGTTGTTGAGATACGCTTTGGAGGCTGGGCACCTTCTTAGCTGCTTTGGGGGCAAAAGTCTTCTCTGCCATTGAAAACCTCCTCCTCCTCCTCCTCCTCTGCTCAGCACCCTCGTTCCCAGGGGAGGTGGATGCTGGCAGGGACGGGTGGACTTCTGAAGTATCAATGCATTCTTCCGAGAGAGCCTGCATCTCTTCAGAAGCCTGTGAATCTGTGGATGTATCAACACTTGGACTGCTAGACCGTGAGGAATCTGAAGACAGCTGGGAGGAGTGCTGAGATGCGACACTGGACTTCTCGCTGGACTCGCAAGAGGTAGCACTGAAGCGGCTATTTGGGGTAGACTCTAAGCGTCCTATTTTAATTGGCGGGTCATAATCTTCATCTTCAATGAAACGCTTGGGAGTCTTAATTATTCGTGAAGAGATGGCACTCACTACAGGCATAATGAACTGCCGAATGTTCTTGAGCTGAGTCCTCCCCTTCCGGCCCTGAAGCTTTGCTGCTTCTTTCTCCATTTTCTTTTGAGCTCCTTTTTTTGCCTTCTGCAAGAGCTGCTTGGCAATTGTGGCATCTGTCCTCTTGCAAGAAGGAATCATCCTTACTGGTCTGCGAGGGCTCTGTCTGACTGTTGGCTTTTCATCTTTGGGGAGAGATGGTACACCCTCTCTCTCCTTTCGTGCCCTCTGGACTTTCTCCAACTGGGAACATACGAGAGCTGGCATAGTCTTCAAGCGATCAGAAGATGGTGGCCTCCCTCTCCTGCGGGCAATCTGAATCCCTTTCCTCCCAATCTGGAGTTTCCCGGATTTGAACTGAGACTTCAGTGGAGAGAGTTTGCCTGTTCTTAATTTCTTAATTTTTGCAGCATGCTGAAAGGTAGCTGAAGGAGCCCGCTTTATTTTCTTTACTTTCTCTTTTTCTTCCTTCCCTCCTTTCTGAGCATCTGGAATGCACTCTTTATGGCTGATCTTGAATTTCACACTGGTTAGAGCAGGAGGTCTCCCTCGACGTTTTTCTCCACTTTTAAATTCTTTCCTTTTTATTTTTTCCATGGATGTAGGTTCTGGCTTGCTTAAAAGTGAATATATTGGTAAGGACTCTGGTAGAGCAGCTGGACTTCGGTCTGAACCGTTCCGAGGTCTCCCACGAGGTTTACGTGCACTAGCTTTGACTGAGACTGCAGAAAAAGAACAAAAATTGGTACATTAAACAGGGAAATCCTTGTTTTCAGCCATGGCACAAAATGAAAACAAGAATAAGGTAAGAAAAGAAAAGAAAAGAAAAGAGGAAGGAAGGATCCAATATTTTATAGTTTTAAGAGTAGGTCAATTTCTGAATTCTACATAAATAGGCTTAGTATGCATATTTAGATGACTAATTTTATAATGCTAGGAGAATTTAGTCAATCAGTTTACCAGGACATAAACTGAGTCACAAATCTACAATGGCTGGACTTGGGACAGAAGAAGCTATCCTGAATCTTTTCCTGTTGGGTTATGAATTGCCTTAGGAGCTCAGCAGCAAGGGATGCTGGATTTAATAATTCCCAGCTACATTCACTAGCCATAGGTCAAGACAGAAACCACATATTGGAATTTAAATTTCATTTCTTTTTCATCAGGACGGTCAAAGCAGGCTTTAATAATAGATGGCATTTCTATTAGTGGGCTTTTTCATAGATGTCTTGAAATGTACATAACGCCCAGGGCATCAATGGGAAGAACATAGTGTACAGTGAGAATGCTTAAAAAAAAATTAATGAACTTCCAAAGGATTATATGTAGGCTAACAGACTGAGTCATATCATTCAGGCAATCGTGTCACAGGAATATTTTACCCATTATAAAATGGAATCTTAGTTATGGAATCTTAGCCTAATCTAAAAAAAAAAAAAAAAAAAAAAAGCTGGAGAAAGCCACTGAAGCATTTCCCCATGATTCCCAACCTGGCAGCAGAAAACTCCTTTTTTGAAAAGGACCGACTACAGCAGATGTCCCCAACCTTTTGGGTGCCAGGGACCGGTTCCGTGGGGAGAGGTTTTTTCACAAACCAGAGGGGTGTGGTTTGGTGTGCTGCCTGCATCTTGTGGATGGGCCTTTGCTTGTTTGTGTGAACCAGTTGCTGGCATGCCGCGGCCCAGTACTGGTCCACGGATCAGGAGTTGGGGATCCTTGCACTACAGCAGCCAAGACACCCCTTACACTCTCTATGATATTAACAAAGTCTTGTCAATATTCTCCTGGTGTAAAATGGTGTGGAGAATCTGTATCCCTCAAATAATAATTTTTGATTCCATTAATGTGATAATACAAGAATCTGATTGGGCCATTAATAGTTTAAGTGTATTGGGCAACTGTGTTTTCTAAGTCATGATTTACTGGCCACCATATTGTGTGGCATTGTTGAATTTACTTGCATGCTGAGAAGTGTTGTTTTGATATGAGAAGTAAGGTGGCTTTTACTTGTATTTTAATATATTATTGGACTTATTGTATGCCACCAAGTTTCTTCTTGGAGTTGGACAACAAAATTAATGAAATCAACAGCTACTTTTTAGCAACTCATTATTGAAAAAAGCTATGACTTAGTATATTATACGAGGCTGGCAAATACAAATTTCAGGTTTTGTCACTCAATAAACATTCTTTAGATCAGCCACATCTAAAACCCATAAAAGCAAATCCCACTGAATATGATTCAGATTGTAGTTGGTTGGATTTACCTGCAAGGGACTTGGGGGAATTGGTTCCTTTGGCCTCATCATCTGAACCAAAACCTAGAAACTGCTCATCCTGCAGAAAGAGGGAGAGAGATGTTTAAGTAAAAGCTATAGTGAAAACAAAAGGGGGTTAAAATTCATTAACAACCTATTTTATATGGCATCTACTGGAAGAGAGGCCACCAATGGAAATACATCTCATAAAGCCCAAAAGACAGCCTGGATCTGCCTCGGGCTATGGAATTTCCCTGAATGCCTGTAGAAAATCAAGAATCTTAAAGATTACCGGAATATGGAAGACAGAGACTACACTTTTTTCTCCGACAGGCATCAATCGTTTTCTAGAATTGATTTTTTTTTAATTACCACTGATCTTTTTTCTAGGGTTAAGAATGCTAAGATTTTTCCTAGGACATTGTCGGATCACAGTCCTGTATGGTTGGAGTTACGTGCTGAAGAGGGGAATAGAAGACCTTGGAGGTTGAATGAGAACTTATTTAGATATGAGGGGATTTTGCAGAAACGTAGAGAATATTTGAAGGAATTTTTTGTTTTGAATATGTATAAGGGTACTTCAATGGCTATGGTCTGGGATGCTAGTAAAGCGTACATGAGAGGGGTCTTGATCCATTTGAATAATGCATATAGGCGCAAACAGGCGAAAAAACGTGAAGAGTTGGAAGAAGAGATTAAAGTGAAAGAGAAGGCTTTTATTTTGAATCCATTGGATAATAGGTTAAAGGTTTCTATAAATATGCTTAAGGAGCAATTTAATATGTTAATGGCAGATCAGACTGCACTTAATTTAAGTTATATGAAACACAATACATTTTGCAATGCAAATAAGCCTGGTAGGTGGCTGGCTTACCAATTACGGAAGAAACAGAAGTCAAGGGTTATAGAGAAAATAGATTATAAAGGTAAAGAAGTTTATCAACAAAATTTGATTAAAAGGAGTTTAGATTTTTATACAAAGTTATATGCTAGTGAAAATATACAAGTTTTAGACATAGATAAATACTTACAAACAGCAAACTTTCCTATACTTTCAAATGACCAACGAGCTGAGATGAATGGCTTAATTACTTCTGAGGAAATTATTTTAGCAATCAAACAACTGAAGGTTGGTAAAGCTCCTGGTACAGATGGACTGACAGCAATTTATTATAAAATGTTATCTGAAGAATGATAGAACCATTAAAGGAACTTTTTAATAGTATTTTTTCAGGAGCAGAAGTACCTCCATCTTGGAGGGCTTTTATATCGTTGATTCCAAAGGAGGATCAAGATCTTACCCAGCCCAAGAATTATAGACCTATATCTCTTTTGAATACAGATTATAAGATTTTTTTCGAAGATATTGGCAAATAGATTAATGCTTGTTTTGAAACAAGTGATTCATAGTGATCAATCTGGATTTATAACTGGAAGATGTATGAAATATAATGTAAGACAAATTGTTAATTTAATTGAGTATTTGGATAAGAATCCCTGCAGCTTTGATATTCTTAGATGCTGAAAAAGCCTTCGATCAGTTAAATTGGCAATTTTTATTGAGAGTTGTAGAGAAAATGAACTTTGGGGATAAATTTTTATATGCTCTTAAGGCTATATACCAACAGCAATCGGCTCAAATTATAGTTAATGGGGGATTAACAGAGGTATTTAAAATTGAAAAGAGTACAAGACAGGGGGTCCATTATCCCCATTGTTTTAACAATGGAAATTTCATTAATTAAAATTTGTGAATCAACTATAATAAAGGGAATAAAAATAAACAAAAATGATTATATATTGAGAGCTTTTGCTGATGATCTGGTTGTGACCTTATCTCAACCGACTCAGGCGGTTATGGATTTAGTAGAAATTATAACTCAATATGGGAAAGTTTCTGGTTTTAAGGTAAATAATAATAAGACTAAAATAATAACGAAAAATATGACTATGATGGAAAAGGAAATGCTAACTAAGTTAACAGGTTTTGAAATAGTGAAAAAAGTTAAATATTTGGGAGTATATATTACAGCTTCTAATGTAAAATTGTATAAGAATAATTATGAGGCATTATGGGCAAAAGTGCAAAAGGACTTAAATGACTGGAAAAAGTTACAATTATCTTTGCTGGGGAGAATTTCAGTGATTAAAATGAATGTTCTACCAAAATTTCTTTTTTTGTTTCAAATGATACCTATTTTAAAAAAAGATGCTACTTTAGATGAATGGCAGAAGGGTATTTTTTTTTATTGAAAATTTTTAAGTTTTACAAGACAATTCCCTTTCCCAAACCCTCCCAACCCTCCCCCGACCTTCCCAGAGCTGAATACAGGCTTAATTAATTTTTTTTAAAAAGGATCTTAAAACACATATAAATCATAAGCAAATCTAAATACATTAATTAAACAAATTATAAAATAGTTAACAACTATATATATAAAAAAATACAAGAAGAAACAGAAAAAGAAAAAGAAAAGATCAAATAAATATAAAAATAAAAGAAAAAGAAAATTAAAAAAAAATGTCTATAAAATATCTTAAGTTTTAAATATAAATTATTCAAAAACTAAGTAATATTTTTTATATCCAACTTATATTGTATGAAATCTATCCATTTTTTCCATACCAGAAAGTATTTCTCTTGCGATTGATCTTTCAAGAAAGCCGAAATCTTTGCCATTTCCGCCAAATAAGAAACTTTAAGAAACCACTCTTGCAAAGTAGGCAAAGATTCCTTCTTCCAACATTGCCCTACTAACAACCTGGCCACTGTAATTAAATTTAACATCAATATAGTCTCTTTACTATCACAATCAGAAACAATACCTAACAAAAACAATTGTGGGGTAAATTTTACCCTTCTTCTGAAAATTCTTTGGATATTCCACCATATCTTAATCCAAAAAGCTTTTATATTTTTACATAACCACCAGATATGATAATAAGTAGCATCCAAACATCCACATCTCCAACATTTAGGCTGCAAGTCAGGATACATACGAGACATTTTTTGTGGATCAAGGTGCCATCTATAAAATATTTTATAAAAATTTTCCCTTAAATTTTGGGCTTGTGTAAATTTAACATTCCTCACCCAAATAATTTCCCAGGTATCTAATGGAACCGGTTCATCAAAATTTTGTGCCCATTTAACCATACATTCTTTAACTAATTCAATGGCAGAAGGGTATTAACAAATTTATTTGGGCAGGGAAAAAACCAAGAGTTAATTTTAAGATTATACAAGATGCACGTGAAAGAAGAGGACTTAAGGCGCCTAATCTAAAACTGTATTATGATGCGGTGGCTTTAACATTGGTTAGTGATTGGCTTAATTTAACAAATAAGAATATACTTTTTCTTGAGGGATGGGATTTATTATATTGATGGCATGCATATTTAATTTATAATAAAAAAGTAGATCAGGTTTTTAAATCTCATATTTTGAGAAATGCTTTATTACGTGTCTGGAAGAAGTATTATTATAGGTTAAATTATAAAATTCCAATTTGGGGGATTCCTGGACACGTGATAGAAGGGGTATCTAGGGGTGTGAATCTGGATTGGATTTCTTATAAGGAATTACTCAATCTGGTAGGGAAGGATTGGCAATTAAAATCTTTAGCTGAGTTGAAGCAAGAAAATATTGTTTACTCTTGGTTTCAGTATAATCAATCAATTGCTAGTTAGGTGGAGTCTAGAGCAAAAGGTTGGCATTACTTTAGAGGGTGTGAATTTGATAAAACAGATTAAAGATCAAACTCGAGCCCATATAAAGAGAATTTATATCTTAATAGAATTGGATTCTGAAACGGAGTTAGTTAAAGATTGTATGGTAAAATGGGCACAAAATATTCAAGAGCCGATTCTATTGGACACATGGGAGACAATTTGGGTTAGAAATGTAAAATTTACTCAAGCTCAAAATTTGAGAGAAAATTTTTATAAAATGTTTTATAGGTGGCATTTGGACCCCCAAAAGTTGTCCTGTATGTATCCTAATTTGCAGCCCAAATGTTGGAGATGTGGTAGTTTGGACACAACTTACTTTCATATTTGGTGGACTTGTACAAATATAAAAGCTTTTTGGATTAAAATTTGGTGGAACATTCCAAATATTTTTAAAAGAAAGATAAAGTTTACTCCCCAATTATTTTTGTTGGTATTATTGTAGATTTTGATGTTAAAGAAATTAATTTGATGTTGAATTTAGTAACAGCAGCAAGGTTGTTGGTAGGGCAATATTGGAAGAAAAATTCCTTGCCGACTATAGAAGAATGGACTCTTAAGGTGTCAAATTTAGCAGAAATGGCAAAAATTTCAGCTTATTTGAAGGATCATTCACAAGAGAGATATATTTCGGTTTGGAGAAGATGGATAGATTATATTCAGAATAAATATGGGACTAAAAAGTTCCATTTACTTTATGAATACATTTTAGAATATTATTATTGTTATTAATAGTTTATTACAGTGAAATTTTTATTATATTGTATTGTTTATGAATTAGGATTTTAATTTGTTTATATGATCAAGTTTATTTGCAAATTGCTTATTCTGTGTCAAAGGGGAGTTAAAGCGCATTATATTTGTTTATTTATATAGTTGGTTAATGTTAGTTAGATTATGATTATTAGATTTGTTACCCTGTATTCAGCTCTGGGAAGTGGGGGAGGGGGAGGGGAGGGGGTGGGTTTTGGGGTATATTTTGTAATTTTTGTAAAACTTTTTAATAATAATAAAAAAAGGAATCTTAAAGATTATCTTCCAGAAAAAAATTTGCTTCCCTTTGCAACCTCTTTAAAGAGCCATTTCTTCAAAAACTGCTGTTTTGGAACCTATAAATAGAAGGCTGTCTTCACAGCAATGATTTGCAACATCTAGCTACAAATAGCTCCATTAATTCCACCCCTTGGGTGTCATCCCACAGGACTAAACAGGACCTCCATGTTAAAGGAAAGCAGTCTGGGTTAGGGCAGAAGCAACAGCCAGCCGCCTCCTGCTGTGCCGACCGGGCTGTTACTGCAGGGTGAGGAGTTCACCTTGGTGTGAAGCTGAAAAGTCACCAACTCTGTGCTC